CATGTACCAGATTGGCTTCTTCCTCTGCTGCTCAGTAGAACAACTAGACTTGTGTTAGCCTCGAATAAGCTAACAACTAGCAAACTAAACTTTGAAATGTGGGTGGGCTACAATGTCTGTAAGCTGTAATGGCTAATGGCATTAGCATGCTGTAGCTTAAAAGCAATACTCAGACTCCTCAAACGTGGACTATATTATTCTAACATACTATTTAAAACCAGGTTAGTGATTTGTGAAATCTTTAGGTGATTAAAGTTGAATGAAGGACCATAGTTGTGCATTCATTATTGCACCAACTCATTTTAATTAGTTTAGGGCTAATTAAATCTAATTTCCAAAACTATTCAATTCAAACCACTTTCACATTTATCCAGTTATGTAAGGTAAACCATATTCTTGACTTATTCTGATGTAAGCAGAAACAGTTGTGCTGCTATTTGCTTGGTTTATTAAACAATAAGTTTGATTAGCGCAGAGGGACAAAACAGGTTCTACAAATTATGACAGAAATCACGGACTGGTTTGAAGCACTCCTCCAGTAAAACTCTGCCACTCCCACCATCCCACAGAGGAAGAGAATCAATAAAACAACAAAATCCCAGAGGACCAAAGAAATCAGAAGTCAGACATAGAGAAAAGGAGATAGCTTTACTATAAAGAAGTTGTTGCTAGCAGAAGTTGCAACATCTCATACACGCATATATGATGAGTATACTTTTTTTCTTGAGTACTTTACAAACGCTTTACTTTGCATGTTGAAGCAAGACTTTAACAAGCTGCTGTGATGCGCATGGTAGGTAAAAAAAAGAGATGCAAATATGACAATTCATAAAAAGCCATACACCATGTGATCAGTCATTTACAAAATCCAGAATCAAAGGTGTATTCTAAAGTTCGAAGCATTTGGAAAGGAAGGGGAAAAAAGAAATGGACATTTTCTTTCAGAATGTGTAACAGATGGGGGTGGGGAGAAAAAGAACTAAACTAAGAATCGAGGTGTGTGCTGATTGTTGCTCGGTTTTGAAGCCAGTTTACTTTTTTTACATGTAAGCAGACGGAGCAGCGAGATGCGCGTTTCCAGACCACATCTTAAAGAGGAGGGGGAAAAAAGGACACATCCACAGAGAAAGTTCCAAGCTGGATCGTTCACTGCTTTCCTTTTCCTTGCTTTCTGCTGCGGCTCCTGTTTCAAGCTTGTCAACATGTCGGTTTAAAGCAACAATACACTACAGAACAATGGCATCCAAGACTTCATCCAACTAATTAAAACTTCACAAAGACAAACAGGGAAAAATGGATTTTAGTATGGAATAATGTGGATTATTTTTAACAGTCACATGTTTTGTTTTGAAGTGAGAGCGAATGAGGAAGGCAGCCTGTTAGAGGAATGAGTTTTGGTCTAAAGATCACCTCCTCACAGCTCTGCACATGCACGCATCGTTTTTACAGCAAACCTGCTCAAAGGTTCCTGGAAGAACTTCCTGATTGTGTGATTGGTTAGAGAACATAAACAGTGAAATTATGTGCAAAAATTCTCATCGGTGGCTGTTACGTAATTTGCCAGCAGGCCTTGTTCTATTCTTGGTCTTATTAACAACTCTGAACGAGCACTGGAGCCGGAACGGACGTTCTGTTGTAGCATTCAGATCATGAGATATGCTGACGGGTCGGGTAGGTAACCAACTAAATAACATTAGCATAACAGTGAAAAAAATTAAACTTAATTTTAGAATCTTTAGTATGTAATTGAAGGAAACACTTGCAAACAGTGGCCGTGTTTCCATCAATGATTTTTATACACATTTTAGAAAATTTGAAAAAACTAATTCCTCAATTTTGCAAACATTTTTGGCTGTTGGCTTTTCCATCCATCCATCCATCCATTTTCTAACACCCTTGTCCATTGGGAGGATTGCTGGTGCCTATGTCCAGCTAATGTTTCGGGCAAGAGGTGGGGTCATCCTGGACAGGTCGCCAGTCTGTCCTGGTGGCTTTTTTTTGGGGGGGGGAGGCTAATGTGCTAAAGTAGAGAAGCTGAATGTGTATGAACACATTTGCTGAATAGGTTCTGACGTAGTGAACTTTGCCATCCACTGGTGGGGTTAAAGCCTCCTGGGGTGGGGTTGTTCCTGGAGGGTCTGTGCCTTAAAGAGGCACAAAACCTGGAAAAATTTCTAAGTCCAACATTACGTTTGCGTAATCTGATTGCTTCGTTCCACACTGGTAGATGGAGATGTGCCTCATTCGCATTTTTTGTTTGTTATTTCTTTTTCGCGAATTTAAATTTGTTCAAAATTCTCGTGACAATTGGATGGAAACATAGCAAACGAGCTAACGAAATAAATTGACCAAAAGGTACCTACTGACCCGCATGAACGGGAAGAATGTGTGCTACCAACATTTATAGAGTAAAGTGACAACAACATGGCTGCACATACAGACATTGCTTTGCGGGTTTCAAATGAGATCCTGGAAGAAAATGAAGGACTTTCCCCAAGTAAAATCAGTTCGAGGTCATTCAGAACAGCTGATGAACGCGTATCTTTGTGCTAATTCCAAAAAGATATTTGATTGAATCAAAGGCCAAAGAGATGCCTTGCTGCTTTACCTGACATTGTCGGATTGCTCTGTAAAGGCAGCGACGCAGAGAGAAAGTTCGCATCAGGTGCACACAGGTGCAACACGCCTCACAGATCTCGACCACAGTGAAGTTGAAGTAATCTGTCACAAGCTAGAGATGCTTTGGGGATACCAACATGTGACTGTCTCTCTGGATAAGAACATATAAGGGGAAGAAACAATAATTATTTACAAAATGGTAGGAGATCTTCTTCCAGGACCTGCATGTACAGAATAACTGCCAAACAGTAAATAAGAATAGAGATTTTCTGTACAGTGGGCAGAGTTATATTACATAAACACACAGCAAAAAAACATAAATAGATGATGGTGACAACAGGAGCAGAACAACATGTGGCTGTTTTGATTTAAAAACACAAGCTTTTCTTTAGTTATTGTTTTGTGTGTGTGTGCGCGCGTGCGCATCTGTATATCTCTGTTTCTAAAAGGCCAAAATGTTTCTAAAGTTGTTTTTAAGTTTTGGTGTGATTCTATTTCTGACAATGAAATGCAGCCACAATAAAAGGCAAAAATGTCTTTTATTTTTAAATTAAATATGAATATAATGTAGAATTAATATTAATACTATTTCTGTAATAGACATATACATTAAATTAAATATTTACATGGAGTTCCAAGCTAACTAAAAAAAAAAAAAAATCGATGTTATTCATTGAAGAGCTAGACTATGTTCACACAATAGGTCTAGATACTCAAATCCAGTTTTTTATTTATTTATTTTTTCCGTTTTAATTCATACTACTAACTCAATCCGACCGCAGTCTACTTCTATTTGAACGGTTTACAATCCCAAAGCGACTCGCAGGAGAAGAAGAACGTAGACGTCACACAGCAGCACTCTGTTTACGGCAGTAATAATGGATGGAGCGGTCTGTGGATCAGTCTAAACGTTTATCCACAGTGAGAGCTGACAGCATCGTCACAAGATCATAACAAGACGATAACTTTCAGGATTACAACTTTCAGATATTGTTTACATCCAGAGCTGCTGCTTCTTCTGGTGCAGCGTTACGACGCACGTCTCGCGTCAATGACGTAAAAGACAGAGAAAATGCGGCACGACGGTTCACACCGCCGATGCTTTTTGAAAACTTTTGGATATGTACGTGATTCAGTACCACATATGCAAGTGGAACAAATCCGATTTTTTTCGGGCTTGGACTGAAAATGTTGGATATGGGTCATATCTCCTTTATACTCTTTTTCTCTTTTTCACTGTTTGTTCAATGTCATATGCTGTTTTTATTTTGTTTTTAATTATGTAAAGCACCTTGAAATGCCTTGCTGCTGAAATGTGCTATACAAATAAAATTTGATTGATTGATATATAGGGGGGGAGGGAGGGGGGAAGTCGAATTTGAGTCGCATTTGCCTGCTGTGTGAACATAGTCTCAGATAGTGCTGTTGAGTGGAAGAAGCCACACTCTTGAGGGCTAAAATAAAGTAATGCATTGAATAAATAATTTGGTAAGTAATCAATATAGGAATCAAAACTATTCCTACAGTTTTTTTTGTTTGTTTTTTTTACTGAACACAGAATCAATCTATCAGCTTGCATGAATGTAAAATACTGAGCCTTTCTCTCCAAAATCAACATATTAGAGCATATGTCATTTAAAAGTGATTCAGTTAATTATGACCATACTGTAGAAATTCTACTTTAATAGTAGCATGAGAACAAATGACTATCATAATCAGGCTCTGCAAAGAGGCGCAAATGGCAGAAAAACGCAGAGTTGTGGATTTGTTCATCCAGTTGGGTTAAGACAGAACATGAACGATTTTACAAGTCATGTGAAGGCAAAGAGATGCACAATTTTTATCTGATTTTAAATGTCGTGGTGATGTGATAATATCTCATTCATTGAAGTTTACTTGGTTTATAGTGGACACAAACATCTGACTGTTGGCGGTAAGAAGAAATCAAAGAATGGAAGCAGCATAAACCCACCTTAAATCTGGACACACCTTGGTTTTTCGTCCACAGGAAGAATTGAAAGTCTGCTTTCAAAATCTAAAATATCCAATGTATGTGTGTGTGTGTGTGTGTGTGCGCGTGTGTGTGTGTGTGTGTGTGTGTGAGTGAGACTCAGATTTTTATTCCATTTTCTGTCATGAACCCAAATACTGTTGCTACAGATTTTGATGTTTTATTAATAGTGTGCAACAAATTTGAACTCAAAATAAATGAAAATGTGAGGCGCCATGGCAACAAAAAAATCAGAGCGGTGGTGGCTTGCTTGCTTATTAGGGAATTAACTGGGTTTGATATTTTGGTGTTTCTTGCTAAAACTACCATTTCTGTTTCTATTTAGTGCACATGTTTTACTATCATGCTCCAAAATATTAGTTTTTTCTCATTATTATTCAAAAGATGGGTTTTTTTTTTTTTTTTTTTTTTTTTTTTACAGTAGAATGTAAGAAGGGCTGAAGCCTGTGCAGATGCTGGGTTCTCTCTCTCTCTCTTTTTTACGTACATTAAAAGGTTGGATTGAACATTGGAGACGAACATGTCGATAAAAACACGCGATTTCAGATTTAAGATGGCTAACACAAACCTAACGTTATGTTTTTATCAACCAGATTAAACTCAAAATGTTATGGAGGTTGTGCATAGTTTCAAGGGGCACTAAAATGTGTGCCAGGACTGTGTACAGCATTTATTAGGATTCAATACATCATCTACCAGCTGTGGAAAACAAAAAAAAGAAGAAAAGAAAATCGTTCACTGCGCAGTAAGTATCAATATGATAAACATATCTGCCAGCATCCTGTTCAGATTAATGGTGAGAGGCTGATATGTCACAGGATGGGGTCAGAGTGGACTCAGGGATTCAGATTCAGAGGAGCATCTCAGGCAGAGCAGCGGCAAAATGATGGGGGGAGACAGAAAACCCAACGAAAGAAACCAAGACTGCTTGCTGATGCATCCAAAGCCGCCACTGAAGGCACACGTCAAAGTTTTGCATGGGTGAAGAGCAGAAGGGGGGCGCTCCGGAGACAACTTCTCCTCTCCGTCCAACGATTGCCTCCGACGGATCATGTAATCAGAGCCAAGAAATGGAAAATTAAAGGCTTGTGGTCTAAGATTACCCCACCCCCCCCATGTTCCTCGTCTTTATCTCTATGGAGGAGAGCCTGTTTAGTCTCCAGACAGAGCCTCCTGCGTTTCTGCGTGTACCGTGTGTTAGATACTCGTATAATCAAGTGTGTGTCTTGTGTACGGTGAGGTGCCTAATGGGAATCGGAGGGACGTTGGGCAGTCCTGCAGCGGCGCCGCTCCGCTACGCCAGCGAGTAGATGGCATTGACAGGAGAGGTGGCCTCGGAGCTCTCGTTTCCCTCCGTCTCGTCCTTGTCCTTCTTCACTGTGTACTGGCCGATGAAGGAGCCGTCCTCGTTGAACTGGCCGTCGCCGCCTTCGCCGTAGTCCACGAGGCTGTCGTCGCTCTCCTTCACGTTGCCGTCCAGCGAAGTCTGGCTGCCCTGCAGAGGCTTGTTGTCCTCGTCGCTGCTGCAATGACCAGCAGAAAGGTTAGAGATTCAGAGACCAGTGTGCCCTCTTGACATGGGCACACTGATACCAGTTAAAGCTACGGTATGTAGCTTTTATAAAAACCATGTTTTTTACATATTTGTTAAAACTGTCACCATGTCATGCTCTCTGAAGAAATACACTGCTCCCCACCAAAGCAACCAATCAGAGCCAGGAGGAGGGGCTTAGCGCTGTCAATTATCCTCATGTACTCGTTGCTAAATGTGCTGATGGCAGAGAAACAACATATGGTTGCTATGGGTGGCCATGCTAATTAGTTTAGTGCAGCAAAGAGCAAAAAGGGAGTGGGGGCGGGGGATGAGCTGTACACACATGGGGATGATTGACAGTGCTAAGACCCTCCTCCAGGCTCTGATTGGTTGTGCTTAGTTAGTTCTGGGAACTCTGGGAGAAAGCAGAGGAGCTCAATTTTTTTCACAGATTATTTGTTACTATTACAACATAGTGACCGTTTAAACAAATATGTAAAAATGTACTATTTTTATACAAGTTAAATAGTGAAGCTACAAAGGCATACAACGTAATGATTGCTGGAGAAGAATCATTTTTCTGGTTCACTTTGTCCCACATTTTTTTTGAAAACTGGTTCTGGATACACTCAACCCAAATGCTTCTCTAACCTTCACCACTGCCTCCACAGATTAATTACCTACTGGCTACATCTTTATGTGCTGCTGTTCTCCAACTTTGTATTTCCTTCACAATCTAATTCATAAAAGTGCGCTATTTTTTTTCCCAACTAGCATAATTTCTAAGATATTCTAAGCCATTGCTCCTCCTTCTGGTCTATTTACAAATCAAATTTAATTTCAATAAACCATAAAACAAAGACGGAGCAGGGCAGGCAACACAATAAATGTGAAGTTATGAAAGTGCAGCTCTGTTATAAGAAACTATTTAACAATTTAAAAAAAAGATAATTAACCCCTTTGTATTTTCATTTTTTGTAATCAACTGTTCAGTCATTTGAAATATTTCACGTTTGTTTTTTTATTGCTATTCTCCTGTCACAATCACAAAGTTTTTTCTGAGAGTTAAATGAGGGCAAAGTGTCGACATGTTGCCATGGAAACCAGAAGCAAAAGAAGAACTGTCCTGAAAATATGCAAATAGCATCTCTCCAGGAACAAATTTAAATGAGAAATTATGTTTCTGTTTATCCATATTTATTTATATTTTTAGGGAAACTACAGCCAGAAAAAATTGCTTGGCATTCTCATTGTTTGCAAAATTGTGCAGAAAAAAAATACCGCCTGCTGAAAACTAGAATTTTGGTGCACGGAAAAAAAAAAAAAAAAAAAAGGGAAAACAGTGACCTCTAGTGTTGGTTGGTTATAAATGAAATGAGTCGCAGAAGTTCATCCTCTCTTCCTCTGAAGTCTGACAGATTTTTTTTCCCTCATTTCTTCTCAAAACAAATAAGTTGTCGCAATTATTTAAAATCATGTTTTCCCTTTTTAAATACAAAGATTCAAATCTGACGACTGTGGGACATTCCAAGAGATGCGTCGCATGCAGAGATCGATGAGCATAGCAGAATGAAACTCTGAAGCAAATCCACTGTTACTGGGAAAGCAGTGGGATGGAGGGTTCAGCAGCGCGCCACCATCAAGATTAATAGCGCACAAGAGTTTTTATTATTCCCATGAAATTACAAGTTAGAACAGAAATATAAATATAGAAGAAATGACAATTTGCAACACGTTCAATAGCTGTTTTCTCTCCAAACGAATCAGTTGCAGGGACGTTTTATTCTGCTGTCATTTACCATCCGCAGCATCTGTTGTTCATATAAAACCGACATTCTGATATGATTTCTATAATCAGATGTTTTAAAAGTTAAGCTCTATGTGGCGGCTCCGACTTCGACTCCACACCTCGGTTCCTTTGTCCCCTTCCTGTCTGATTACTGTTAAATAAAAAACCCTAGTACAGATTTTTTTTTTTTTTTTTTAAAAGCTAAAGTTTCAATTAAGCTTGAATTGAAGCTTCTACTTTGGGATTTTTATTTTACTGCCAAATTGTAACAAACAATTCAAACAGAAAACTAATATTGGTTGTCATACTAAAAGTATCTTATGTAATATCAAATGTCTGAACTGAATAAGAAAAAAAGGTAAAAACTTCCATCCACATTTTGGAGTCCTTTTTAACACAACAGATTTAAAAAGAATATTAATACAAATGAAGCTGGTATAGAATTAAGAGTGTGTTTAAGTATTTGGAAATATGGTGGGGTTTTTTTTTTACCTTAGAACAAAGAAAATATGAATTTTTAAAAACGGAAGAAAAATCCATGCAAACTGTCCCCTCGTGTTTTTATTCACCTGAGCTAAAGAGAGAACTTACCTTCTCCATCAGTCTACAAACAGCTATGTTGTTCACCAACATTTTTGTATCTTTATAATAAATAATATATAGCAAAGAATCCATCTAAAGTCAACACAGATTCCTCTTTGCAATCTGATTGAAGATCCAACATGGCAAGCTCTGTGGTCTTCCAGATCAAGCTCCGGCTGATCAAGCTTTTCTTCCCCCCCATCCCCCGAATGCAACCACCCCCCAAAAAAAAGCCTCCATCCCCACAACATGCACAAGTCGTGCCGGCACCAATGTACCTGTTTTCATTTTCGTTCCTGTCGCGGACAGATGAACCATTTCCGCATTTGGAAGAGAAAGGGATGAAGTATGAGGAATCGTGGGGGGGAACAGTGAGGGCAGAAGAGGTGCAGAGAAAAAGATAGAAATGACAAAAACACGAGCTCCGCTCCGTGCATGCGTGGGAAACCTTCCACACACACCGACACACACACAGGGTTAAATGGAGGGACTTGCACCGAAATTAACGTCTGATCTGGGATCAATAGAAGCAACAATCTTAGCAGTAATGGTGTGTAACGGACAGAGTTGATTAATAAACTAAACGTGATTAATTGGAACAGATTAATTGTGTTAACACAAAAGAGCAAATCCGCAGATCACCGTGTTCGACATTTATTACCTTTAGATTTACCTTGGTCTCTCTTGGAAACAGATTTTCTGAGGTTTTTACAACACTAAGTATTTCACAAAACCAAAGCTACTTAATAATAACAACAATAATAATAAAAACAATACATCCTTAATAATAGTCTCAACAATATGAGAGGCAAAACCAGGAAGGTCTGTGGAAGCTCCAACGCACACAGTTAAGGGTAAATGTTATGGTGCCACTCTTCAAAACGAACTGGAGTTTATTAGCTGCAGATTATGTACGTTTAATAAAAGCCATAGTAGGTTAAAGAAGATGCTAGATGATACAAAAAAAAGGACAAAACCACATAGATCAGTGGAACCTGAAAGAACCAAAAGACAAATCACTTACAAAACGGCTATAGCACACAGTTCACACAGCAGTCCTGATGTGTACCAGCTCCTGTTTCCTCGTCTGCTGCTGTAAAGGTTTTCTGAACAGCGACAGTTTATTGTTGGATCATGACGGAGGAGACAGGAGTAACTGTTCTGTATGAACGCGGTCTGACGTCGTCGTAGGACTCTAGTTTTATTCTAAAGCCTCATGTTATTGAGTTTTTTAGAACGGTGTTCGGTTGCAACTCAGAACTATTGAGAGATCATCTCTGATTGGCTGGCTGCTTTCCATGGAGGACAATATGTAGCTGTTTCATACGCAAAGCAGACATGATGTATCAACGTTTTGGAGCATTTTCAGATTTTCATGATTATTCCTAATTTCTAATAATCACTTGTAATTATTTGGTAATTTCTAATATATATATTCTTAATGATGGTTCTTTTTTGTTGTTTTAATTTAGCTGAGCAATTTTGAGAGCAAATTTAAGGAAGATGTGGAGCCTGCAGCTGAAGAGCTCACAGTTGCTGTTGTTGTGGTTACGGCTTCTGAAGAAGGAATTTGTTTGATTTCAGAGAATGTTGAGATTATTTCCATTTGTTTCCCCACTTTAAAATAGAGGAGCTGTTGCTCCACTGATCAGGCGCCTTGGCATGTATACATAAAGTAATGTAAATAGTCATATGGTATTTATCAGATATAGTCAGTAAAATGACTGTCAGATTTCCTTTTTCCACACTAAAGACTTTTTCCACAAAGTGAAACAGTGTTTCTCCTTGTTTAATGTGATCCATGATGCTACTTTGAAAAGACTTTTGTACAATTGACTAACTTTATGCAAAACACAGTGAATGCAATTATCTCTTTGTTTATACTTACTGGTAATCAAAGGATCCATCCTGATCTTTCTGATCCACTGGATCCAGGGGAAGATCTTTTTTGTCACGAACTGATAAAAAAGAGAAAAGAAAGAACAACAACAAAAAAAGAAAGGTTTGCTCAAAGTTCCACAGTTGGTAAAGTTCATGTATTGGTAGCTTTTTGGGATCAGTTTAAAAAACCCAAACGTTTTTTTTTTTTTTTTTCTTTTCTGTTTGTGTTTGTTTGGTCACATCGTCAAATAAACTTTAATATCAGACAATAACTGGAGTTGATACAAAAAGAGCCATTTTCAGTTAATGGTTTGTTATAAAGGGAAAACCAATGAGAGAAAGGACTAGTGGTAACACTTTATTTGAAAGGGTGTGCATAAGACTGACATGACACTGTCATAAACATGACATAACGTCTGTTATGAACATAAAGGAGTCTTTATGAATGTTTATGACTGTTGTCACGAAGTATCATTTGGTAAATAATGACACTTTTAATGCAAAGTTGCTCTAAAAGTTGCATTAAAAGTCCATTAAAAGTGCCAACTTTACATGATTTTGTAAATGATGACAATTTAATGCAAAGTTGGAAATTTAATGGACTTTAAATGCAACTTTTAAAGCAACTTTGCATCAAAGGTGCCATTATTTACTGAATGTCACTTCATGACAGTCATAGACATTCATAAAGACGCCTTCGTGTTCATGACAGTGTCATGTCAGTCTCATGGAGACCCACCCCGTCAAATAAAGTGTTAATGAACACTTTACTGTGATTCTCTTTCACTGTAAATCATAAAAGTGTAGATTAAAGATGGGTTATTTAGTTACTGCTGATTAAAAAGATAAAATATGCATTAATTTGTGATTGCTCCCTGTCAGACTGACCACATCAGTAACTCGGGGTCTGCTGGAGTTTGTATTAGAGGCACGGTGTTTTGTAAGATCTTCTGTCATTAATTCTTCACTCACAAAAAGGAAGAAGACCTGGTGTTACTCTGTTAGTCTGCATCATGTTAAGCCCCTTTCTGTTAGTTTCATGTCTGATCCGTCATGGCACCTACCGAGGTATTTTGTGAAACCAGTCAAGAAGCCGGAACCTAGACATTACAGAAACTGTAAAACATTATTACAACTCTGAATTCTCTTCTTCCAAGGGTTTAGGCCATCAGATGGCCATTTTCTGATCTATATGTGTTTATTATTGTGTCAACAAAGAGATATTCTTTTAGTTTGATCTACAAAGGAAAGTATTTCCAATTCAATTTGATAACATCTGTCAATCTAGAATAGAATAGTTTTGGAGTCCAAACTGGAGACCTACATGTTTTTCCATTGTACTGTACATAGACAGAAGTTCTAGATATACTTTAATAGAATTCCAGTTAAATATAAACATAGAGAAATGCAATAGCATGACTGTTGACCTGCATGAGTCTAGAAAAAAAAGAAAACAATCATAAAAAAACAATGTAAGGCAGAGTAATACAGTCTGAACCAAAAATAATTATAACTATGGATAAAATTACTTTTATTTCCTCGGACTGAATGTAATGTTACCTGTTATGTGATCCAGTGAGTCTGACTTTTGTGTACATAATCAAACATGTTCATTAGTCAGAAAATCGTTCAGAATGTCTTGTTTGAGATAAACGGCAAAAGGATTTTTCTCTACAAATCAAATATTCAGAGGGCTGCAGATATTATCCAACAAAAACATAAGAAGGATTGAAAACACTTTGAATGAAGTGAATTTATAGCCTTACTTGGGTATTTGCCTCCTCGACTCCTCTTGATGAAGCAGACAATGAGGAGGATCAGTATAATGAGGGCAATGGCACACATCAAGCCAATGAACCAGCCCTGAGTGGCTATGTCTACCTGGTCTATGTGAGCTGGACACACACACACACACACACACACACACACACACACACACACACACACACAGAGAGAGAGAGAGAGAGAGAGAGAGAGAGAGACAGTTTTCAGGATCAGAGTTGTAGTTTTCTCATATCTTGTCACATTACATAATTATATTTATCCACAGCAGCAGAAATCTTCTTTCTCTAGAAGATTTAACTTACACTCAAACAATTTAGTGAATTTTGTCATTTAAATTACCCATAATCCTCCCTAAAAACATAGCAAAATAATAAAGCCTTTTTTTTTCTTTTTTTTTTAACTTAGGTACTATATAAGCGGTCTTTGCGATGTGAAGTTGCAGCAGAACTCAGGTTGGGATGATTTATCATCTGTTGTTTGCTTATAAATATCAAATATATTTCATCATTTACAACAGCTGCGCTTCCATGACAAACATGTGCAAAACTGTCAGTATTCTGCTAATGTCAAAAAAGCATGATTTCACAATTGTCTCCAAGAAACGTAATTAAAATCCCATGTGTGTAAGCTTGTTCACACTCATTAAAAAACACCAAGAAACATGGTGGTGGCGGTACCACCAAACCATTGACTCAATAGAAGTGAATACAATGGTGACCTTCAGTTGTCTGATTTTATTTTGTTTTATTTTTTTAACAATTTTCATTTCATTTCATAACTACGTACTACTTTTTGTTGGGTTACCTCATAAAAGGTAACCCAACATTGATCATTGATCCATATTCTGTTGAGTTTGGAAGGCAGAGAGCTAACCAGCACAGATCACATTACTTATGCCTGAGTCCAAACAGATGCTCCAATATCACCATGTTCATTTTTCATGTTGTTTCTATGAACTGTTCTTATGTGAATGATTACAATTAGCAACAAACAGACGTTGCAGTCAGTCTGATGGCTGATATCAGATATATTTCCATCAGCTCAAGTCTATAAAAACTGAGTTTTACGTCAGTTTTGTTCATTCTCATTCTCACATACACACACACACACACACACACACACACACACACACACACACCCAACAAACAAAAGTCATTTACTTGTAAACAATAAAGCAGTCAGGTAGTAGTTATGTTTGTTACATCTTAACCAATAGATATGCATGCCTAGCTAAGTTAAACTACAGTTGAAGTTCAACTAGACATCTGTCCTGGTCCCAGTATTCAGCAGTCAAAGTCTCTTTCAGCTTCTGACCTTTTATACCATGACAGAAAAAGGCACAACATACAGTGGAGCCCCCGCTGTGTGGTTCAGTATTTGTGGGTTTTTCTGTTGAATGTAACTCCAAATTATTCACAGAAAATCCGTCTTTTTGTGTGTTTTCCTGTAGAGGATTTCGAAAATAAAATATCTGGACAAAAATGCAGCTTGGGAAGATGAACTACCTCAGCACAATGCTGCTTGACTCTGCTATTTGCTGGTGTTTGGTCGGAAACCAACCCGGAAACGCCTTTCATTATCCTTGGCACTCACTTCCCAATAGCCAAGATAAGTAAGACCGTAACTTTGAGATGGTTCCCACTGTGCGTAATAATGCATTTTTGAACTATTAAAATGTGATTTTAGAAGGAGTCTGAGTTATATTCCTTAGCATTTAGCTAAAATTCTCAAATGCCAAGGTCCTAATCCAAACACCAGGAGTCCGCTGTACAGCCATGTTATTACAGGAGGTGTTTGAAGCAATAATGTATGCATACAAATACTCTGTCTAATTGAATTTATCAATAGTTTTAAAAATTGACATTGTCACTGCATCACAGTTATAAAATTAATTATATGTAAACAGTTTTATTTTTCTTTTGAAATCTTGTTGGACAAAATCAGACCATGGAGACAAATTCATCGTAGACACAGTAGGAAAGAAAGGACTTCAACCTTCAGCCATTTTTACTGTGATGCAGAAATCTTACTTTGCATCCTGATATTAATAAACAATATTGCAAATTAACAAGTCCATTTTAAATTTAACTGAAAGCAGCTCTCCTCTCACCTGCTTTAGTTTGAAAGGTGACAGATTTGCTGACGCTGTTGAGCTCTTGGGAGTAAACCCTCAGATGGTACATTTCACCAGCGATCAGAGCCTTCAGATTAACGGGCGGCTGTTTCTCCTTTTCAACTGCCACTGTTTTGTTGACTTGGAGACACAAGAAAGGTGCCAATCACACTCCGGAGGCGTCACTGACTGGACAGTGATGACTGTCGTGTGCAGCTGAGATCACAAAGTGCTTCAACGGAGAGACCGGTTTGCAAAGCACAGCGTGAGTAGACGGTTTGCTGATGAGAACAATGCATTGCCATCACAGATAATAAAAAAGATGCGTTCGTGTACCTTTGGCATGTTTACTTTAGCAAAATGAGGACAATAAATTCCACATCTTGTGGGTCAAAGTTCAAAGTTAATCATTTCCAAAGGGCCCAATTCTCAAGAAAGATTCTAATAAAAAAGGGAAACAATACAAATGCAAAAGGCTACAGCATTGTGTCAAATTAAACTGCATCTATGGGTCTGGTTTTCGTCCAGCTTTATTGGACAAAAGTGAAGGTTTTGGGTGGCAACGCATTGTTGATGTGAAGTTATTCTCACAGTCACACTTTCATATTCTTAAAGTCCAGTCAGAAAAGAGCAGCAACATCATTTGCATCTTTGTGGCAGAATGGCATGCCAGTCATGACCGGGACGAGCGACAGTCATGACTCGGAAGTGACAGCAAACAGGAGGGAGTATTAGCTGATGACATCAGGCGCCACGTGGTCAACCATTTCAAAGGCATGATGTCATCTGACAACATCAGCTCAAAGCCACTCTACATCGGAAACATGCAGTTTACATGCAGACACAATACCGAGGGACATCGGTGCGCCTCTACTGAGGCTGTGGAAAAATAAATCAGTCTGAGTTCACTCAGGTTCTAAGTTGACCTTGTGGAAGTGAAGGACACGACAGGAAGTTTCTGGTTATCTACAATGTTTCAGCTGATTTAATCTCCAAGACCTGCACTTAGTCCGCATTCCCATCCGGAAATACTCAGGGGAGCATAAAGGGATGATGATGATGATGATTATGATGGGATGAAGGAAGTTGCCAGCCAGGCTTTCTAAGAGTCAAAGCTTTTAGACTTGACCCTGGAAACCACATGGGATTAAAGGAGCAGCAAATCAATCCCATCATTCCCCTTTCGTTCATTTCTTCCTTTCTGATCCGTTTAGAGTCAGAGTGCATTCAGGGCTCAAAGTGGCCAAGAAACAGAAAACCTTCATTCTCCTTTTCATACAGTCATAGTCTGAGGGGTAGACCCATCGCAGTGTGATGAAAGAAAGCATACAAAACAAATTGTAAGAATAATGTTCCATTCCCTTTGTAGTTAGAACTCGGAAATTTCAACTTCCCAGTCGTAAAAATCAACCGGAACGCTCCCCGAAGTCGGACTCAGACGACCTCCAGTTAGGAATTTTAAGGCCTAGTTCACGTTTCAATATGGCCGCTTCTAAATATGTTTATTTTACAAAACACATTTTGAAAAATGGCCTAAAATCAATGTTACATGCGCCTGCATCTATAGACCAGACAACACCACCAAGGGTTCATTACCACCAGCCCTGTTTAAGGGTCATTTAGACCCAACAAGCTTTTTTTATTCTGTGCACAATCTCACTGACCCTGTACGCATTTTTACAAGGTCTTTTTTGTGTGTGGTTTTGGAAACTGACGGTCTGACGAGACAAACTCTCTCGCTCCCCTTCTGTCATTGTCCTCGCTCACTGTGGAAGGCTTAATCCAACTCCAGCTCCGTTTGCCTGGAAAGTCCGGTTTGTTTGGAAAGGTGTTAATTGGTAATGGAACACTGATGCAGACCAAAAAAGAGAACTGTAGTCCACCTAAAAACTGGGGTCTTGATTGAAATGAACTCTGGGCAGTGAAAGTTCCTTCGAGTGATCAAAAGTATTAATGCAACACAGTAAGCTAGCTGAACCTACCAACCAGGTTATGGTATACTCTTCAGCTCTAGTATATGGCAGTTTTTGCTTATTTATTTATTTAGTTTCTTCATCAAGTTGATTTCAGAAATTATCGTTTTTGTCCTGGACAGTCATATTCAATAAAACAAAACAAGTGTTTCAATGAGATTAAAAATAACTATTGAAAATAATAACAAGGGTGGTATGAAACATACTTTTTTATTAATTCTATATTTTTGTATTAAAGGGTTTTTTTTGTGATGCAGAAGTTAAAGTTTAACTTGACTTTCTGATTTTGTACTGTGTGGAGCTGATAGATTATTACAGGAAATGTATTAAAACACCGTCACATATCACTTTGTTTAGCCATAAACATAGCAAAAATCATGCAGTGGGTCTCAATAAAGTCCCTGTAAATCCAAAACAATTCCACCTTAACCAGTTCTAGACCTTAAAAACAAAGGGAAAAGATGTGCTTCAGAAAGGAAAGATTCAACAGTATCTAACATCGGTTCCACAAAGAAAAAAGATTACTATGACAACATGGGCGGCCAGAACAGTGGCATACTCAAATACAAGTCCATGTAAAGCAATCAGAGTGGCCCATTTAAAGTGAAAGTCCAACTGGAGGCATTCCAAGCCAGGCAGCAGCATGAACAGAGATGGCACAGAGAGCTAGAGACGACATGGAGAGGGACTTTTTATAAGAAAGTCCCAACAGTCCCCTCACGGATACAGTGTTAGAAATCAAATTATCCAGTTATTTCTTTGTGTTTAAGACTTATTTAGTTCAAATAAATGTAATCGAAGTGCATCATATGATTTATAAATGTGTACAAGAAGTTGCAGGAAACCTCATGTCATACAAATATATAATCAGAAAATACATTTAAAAAAATATCCCAAATGCACACATTACAAACTGTTGTGGATTTAATAGTTTGTATGTTAAATATAGTAGTGATTGAAACATTTGTCAAGTCTGGTGTATTTGCTTCCTGAACATCTGTGCAAACAGTTTTTATATTTTCCATTTTCTTAATGAATGTTTTTAGATAACACCATGCAGATATTTACATGCCCTGTAAAACCTCCACGCTGTCCTACACTGAATCAGACACATTTTCTTTATTTTTAGGTCAGTTAATATTGCCAAAATTATCTTTATTTGCTAAATGACAAAAATAATGAAATATGTTTCATTAGAGGATAATTTATTACTTTTTTTAAACTATGAAGATCACATTCATACAGAGTCCAATGGTTTTGAACATCATGGGAAAGCCCAGATGATGATCTCATGGCTTTGCAAGCTTCTGATAGTCTAACATCTGAGTTAAACTGAATCACACTTGTGAACCTCTTTAAGGTAACTCCCCAAATACACCATGCTCTTGTGTGATTTGATGGAAAAAACAAAAATAAATCTGTTAAAATGCAAGGAAACAAATTGTGGAGTTCCACCAGGATAGTTTGTCCAATGTTTTGGTCTAAAGGTTCCACGTTCCTCCATTCGCACTGGAATGTACAGTTATTAAACTATCCTGGTGCAAATCTGTGAGTGGACAAAGATGCTGCTGAAGCTGGTAAGAGAGTCATTATCCATAGTGAAACGTGTCCTGTACCTGCATGGGGTCAGTGTGGAGGATGCAGTGACTCCAAAAGTAACATGAGGAGCCAGTTTACAATTTGCAATTGTACTTGGAAGCGAATGCCTAATTTTGAGACATGTGCTCATGAAACTAGAACTGGTCAGTATGGTCATAATGTCCGTGATTACTGTGGTGGCCACATCATGTTTAGATGGTTTTCTGCAGAATCAACTGGAACACTTCATAAAATATTAATACTAATGACATCAGACAGGAAGTTAAAGCTCGGGGGGCAAATGGGTTTTCCAAATGGACAATGGCCCCAAGAACACAGCCAAAATGATATAGTGGCTTAAGGACAACAAAGTCAATGTTGCTGAGTGGTCATCATAAAGCCCTGATCACAGTCCCATGGGAAATAACTGGGGAGGAGAAGAGGTATATGTGAGCAAAACGGCTAATGAACCCAAAATCTCCATAAAAATATTGTGAGAAGTTTGTGGAAAGATAAAGTTTAAAAGGGAATTCTACCAAATACTGAGGAAGCACATTTAAAATCTTGAACTTTACAAAGGTTTTCAAAAATAATTTACATCTTCTCTTAATTATTCTGGCATTTAGCAAACAGGCATAATTTTGATAACTCTAATTGACCTCAACAAGGAAAGTTTAGTCTGATTTATTGTCAGTCAAAAAATAGGTACCTCTGATTTCCTACAGCTCCGCAAACATTTGGTACACATTTGTAAATCATGCTAAGCACAATCACAGCAACACTAAGATCATATTCTGGTAACAAAGGCGTCCAAATTTTACTCTTCAAACTTTGTGTGCCATCCCTGCGAGGGATTCAGTTCACTCTCAGACAAGCAAACATATGTTTGATGTTTTGATGTTTTCGGACGTTCGGCACAGGCTTTGTGTCTTACAGTCCAGAGTGACCTCTAGAGTAAACTTGCTGTCAGCTGGGAAGTTGTGACTCCAGTTGACGTCCGCGTAGTAACTGTTGGCGACCACCGTCAGACTCCAGATCTCCCACCGAGGGGTTACTACACAGATGGGTGGTTGGGGGATAGGATCAGGGGCAAAGGGTTAAAGGTCGGAAGAAACAGGTAACACTTTATTTGACGGGGTGTGCATAAGACTGACATGACACTGTCATAAATAATGACACTTTTAATGCATAGTTGCGTTAAAAGTCCATTAAAATTGTCAATTTTGCATTAAAAGTGTTCTAACCCTAACCCTACCCTAATCACCAACTGGTTTTGATTGTGAAAAATGACTCATTAGCCCCTTTCAGAACAATGAAACCTCCTTTTATGGATCATGTCATACCTCTCGTTCTCTGGACGGATAACGGTTTGTGTGTGCTTTCAGAGTATGCAGCTAGGAGACAGGATCAAATAGGCGTGGCCTACAACTTAAAGAATTGAGCCGGGCAGTATGCTAAGTGTTCAGGGTTCTAATTGGCTAACTTGTGTATCTTAGCTCTTATGAAAGTAAATAATATAGATCTTTACACACATAGGATCTTAAGTTGTTTTGCAAAAAAAATAAATAAATAAAATCACGAAATAAAAAAATGTAAACATGAAAAAGATTTCTAGATAAAAGTAAATCTGTAGTTTTCAATACTGAATCAAGACAATGAAAGTGTACTCCACAGGTCAGGAGATAATGCTTGACCTGACGGATCGCCAAAGGTTTCAGAACAGATCTAAGGAGCCGATAGTATTCTCAAGGTAGGGTCTGAGTCTGTAGGTCTACAACAGCTCAGAGATGTCTGTGTGCTTCAGGATGCAAAGCCATAAAAGTTAACAGCAGGAGTGGAAACGTAACCAATGAAGAGACATTAGGACAAGATCCATGTGTGAAAACAATCAAGCACCTGTCTCCTGTTTGTCCAAAAGAACTCAATGTTTTAATGCTCAAACATTAATGTGCGCCATAGCATAGCATATTCTTATTTGCACAAATCTGCTCATCAGTTTACTTTATGTCATCTTAGGAGTACACTGGGCAGCTCTCTGATCTTTATGGACCTTTGGACTTGCTGCCGTCTTTGCTTTGCATTGCATTGTTACATCACACCCTTAAGACCTGACTCTTACAGTTCAAGTCTCTGACTACCTACCAAGTAGATTAGAGATGTAATATTGTTAAGTTGACTTTACATTATCCTCCCTTATTCCATGTCATGACCAAAGCGCAGACAGAATCCACGGTCTGAAAAGGGCTACTGGATTTATCATGTCATACAACACAATCTTCCAGTATGTCTGTTTTTAGTGCAACATACAGCACAGCCTATCACGATGCAGTCCTGACATACCTTCCTGTTTTCTGTCAGGTGGGAGAAGGCAACCATATTCATTCAAACTACAAAGTGAGACTCAGTGAAAAGCAGTAATACAACATGTACCCAAGACATTCTGATCAACTCGCTTGGTGGTGACCAGCACAGGAACTGTGGAGGGTGTAGTTGCCTCAGTGGTAGTAGTAGTAGGAGGAGGAGGAGGGGTTGTTGGAGGAGGGGTAGGAGTTGTAATACTAATTGTTGTGGGAGGGATGGTAGTAGGAGGAAGGGGAGGAAGGGAAGGAAGAGGAGTGGGAGTAGGAGGGGAAACAGAAGACAGGGTGGCGTCCGTAAGCTCAACTACAGGGAAGGAAGAAGGAGAGAGCAGAGGGTTAAACACAAGGCAGCAGGAACATCACACAAAACTGTGACACACTGACACTCTAGACGATGGAGCGTAGAACTGAATGCCATCATGTTCCCCTCACTGGAGCAATCACAAAATCACCCACAAACCACAGCTGTTTTTATTTTGTCACTGATGTCATTCAGTCAGATGCTAGAACAGAGGAAAGCCAGGACAACCTTTCGTTTTCCACTGCCCTTCTCTTGTGTGTGTGTGTGTGTGTGTGTGTGTGTGTGTGTGTGTAGTGTCTTTTATTTTCTGGTCCTCAGAACCTGCAATCCTTTAGATGTTTTCCTCCTTGAAAACTCCACATTCAAATTACTTTTCCTGTAGCACAAGGCTACAAGGGCAGCACAGACATGTTCAGGTGTGCCGAAGCTGAGAACATCTAAAGTACGAAAGGCTGAGAACGCCACAACACTAACTAACATAGCTCAGCATTGCTACCACCAGGTGGTGAAATATTGGTAATACATGTGGCTCTTCTTGGCAATTAAGATAGTGTGTTCTACAGCAGCTATGTTTAAAATACTATAGTCATTAATCTTTTCTAGTTTTACTATAAGAAGACAAATTACTTCAACTTAGCTTATTATGAAGTCAAAACCAAAATTAAAACTTATGGGTTCAGTTTGGGTCCAATAACTTAAATGCTTGACATTAGAACAAATCTAACCAATCTGAATGAAGCTCTCTGCACAGATTTTCATAAATGACATTGAGTAATAACAATATGTGTATGACCTTTAGTTTGTCTTCTGATACTCAGAGTTTCCAGAATAACATGCATTAATGTGGAACCTTTTCAAGGAAACAGTTTGAGTTGCATTAGTTCTGTTAACCTGAACACAATGATGTAGCGGCCAGACTCATATGAGTAACACCCCAAACAACAACACCCCAAAAAACAACACCCCAAACAACAACACCCCAAACCTCAAACAGCATGCTATTGTCATGTATTTCATGCATGTCCTTAACCAGCGCTTCACTAAATTACCAGCGTTTTTAAGCCATGACAGTTCAGTGGCTTCAAAGGTCTCTTCAGGGAAAGGCTTCATGCTACCTTATGTGTCACATTCGGAAGTTGCCAATGATTCACTGAACAGTGGTGATCCATAAAGACGACGTCATGACAGATGTGCAGAAGCTCAAAACCAAACAAAACAATCAAACAAAAAAGAAGCCAGTGGATGACTAAGCAATCCAAGTGTTTTGTACCTCAGCATTCCCTACAACTTGCACAAAAAAACAAACAAACAAAAAAAAAACATTATTTGGGTTGTATATTTAGATGCAGCAGCATTATTTTTTTGGTAGCTACAAAAGCAGTGCCAAAAAAAAAAAAAAAAACCTTTAGCAGCTACACAAAGTTCCTTTGCATCTCAGAGCAAAACGGCAGAGACTGTGATGCAGTCAGGCTGCATCACACAGACGCACCACCAGGTGCCAGTGTTTCAGGAACAGAAGTTTAAAGTAAGCAGAGGCATAAATAGACTTATAAACATTTATGGAGTAGAAGTAATGATAAAAGAGAGCATTATGAAATGCAGCCAAACCATAAAACGCACACCATGCCTGTTAGACCCCTGGGAACACACAGCAGCAGCAGCAGTGGACCGACAGCGGCTTCAAACAAAGTGGAAGGATGATCAGATGGAGACAGGCAGTCACATTATACCTCATCTAATACATCACAAGTGTGTGTCAAACTCCTTATTAATATGCTTTCAATGAGTATGATGTGCAGATGAACCCCTAGATTGTATTGCTGTTATTTGTGAATTTACCTGTTTGTTACACATATATTACATTATATTGTTATTATTATTACTTCTTTCTTTATTCTTTATCTTACCTAAATTTGATTTAGACATACATACAGCAATTTCCAAACCTTCAGTGTATGTATGTTAATGTCTTGAACACCAATTTTCTTGTGTGAATATGTGAAGAAATACAGAAAAAACCCTGCCAGCCTGACATAAAGCTTCCTCCTTCCATAACAGAGCCAATCCGTTCTCATGCTGCTGTGAGCAGCTCTGAAAACCAGGTCTGCATGAAGCCACAGTGGGGCAGCAACAGAACCGTCGCTAAGGGCTGTAACAGTGACTGCACTGCTGCTGTTGTTAGATGGACAGATAAAAGCAAAATGTCAGTGTTGGACAGCAATGGTCAATGAGACTGTGCTTTTTGTTCCCCCATTACCTACATCTGTAGCATCAGTAAAGTTTTCTGCCGGTGGAAAGAACAGAGACACAGAAGACACAGGAGAAGAGTGGGTGAGACAGGAAGGAACAAGAAAATAGCACTGTTTCAAACTGAGTCACTGGTATAAACTATAAAGGCACAGAGAAATGGGCTGGAGGACATCTTACCAGCCTAAACACTCGTTGAGCGTGAGGGAGAACAAGACTTTCAGCAGGTAACAGGAAGGCTGGCAAGAGTCATTCTGTTTCATTAGCTGGAGCTTTCAACTTCTCTCAACCTGTGTTTCTATTACAAATGTGCGCAAAACTCTGTTGATGTCCTGCTATTCTCAAAAGAACACAATTTCGCAATAGAATAAATAAATCTGTTTATGCAATGGGTCATTGCAAATCATGGAGGCAACAGATGTAATCTCTGGTATGAGATATATTCATATTTCAGCCATGGCATTATGACACATTGTCAGCCATCAGAGGAGGGGTCTGCGTCCTATTCAGGTGTTGGAGTGAGAAGTTCCTTATACTTGTGAGCAGCTGCGTATGTGGCGTCGTTGGGAAATTTTAGTCTGCGATTTCACAGAAGAGTTATGGATTCAACACTTTAAAATGACAAACTCAACTTTTGACAAACTGTTCGATGCTATGAGAGCTCTGGTGGAGCCAGCTGCCAACAAAAAAAATTATGTTCCTGCTGTATATAAACAGTCATGATTCATGATGAGAAAAAAGTGTTTCCATTGAGGTTTTGCAAATTTCAGTATGACCAAACAAAATAACCTCGTCATAGCACAAAAAAATTTGGTAACACTTTATTTGAAGGGGTGCGCACAAGGCTGACGTAATACTGTCATAAACATGATATAACACCAGTCATGAACATGAAGTGTCATTCGGTAAATAATGACACTTTTATTGCAAAATTGGCCATTTTAATGGACTTTTAATGCAACCTTCAGTACAGCTTTGCATTAAAAGTGCCATTATTTACTGAATAACACTTGATGACAACAGTCATAAACATTCATAAAGACTTCTTTATGTTCATAATAGGTGTTATGTCATGTTTATGACAGTGTCATGTCAGTCTGATGCACACCCTTTCAAATAAAGTGCATCCAAAAATGTTATGGAAAAATGTAACTTTTTTTCAAAATTGGCATGTTTCTATTAAGTGCTGTTGTTTTGCTGTTTCGAATTTCCACAATTTCATGATCAGTAGAAGCTCAGCCGCTGCCAAAGGAATGTTTGACAAATTGGTCGCATTTTAAACTAAGGGACAACATTCTTTAGGAAGCACAGGCAGACTGCAATGCTCACGTTGCTAAAAACCCTAACGGTTATTATAAGCTACTGATGCCAGTTTAAAGTTTTAACTGAATAGACATTTTTTCTTTGTTTTAGAATATGTATGAGAAACCATGTATGAGCAGCAGCTGCTCTCTCTCACACAAGGCATACCATTGTCTCTGTTTGCAATGTAATTAATGACACTTTTAACTGCAGACAACCGGAGCTGTGAAACAAAGTTCTTTTGGAGACAGTAAGCTTTCTCCTATCATTGTAAAAAGACAAACGGAAGCTTTCAAATCATTCCCCTTTTGCCATCTATGCTCTCATATAATTAAATTTTCCTTTAAATTTTGCTGAGCTTTCTGGTACAGTAACAAAAAAAAGGAAATTTGACTCTGATTCTGAGTTGAACTCTCCTATTAAATGATTAATGAAAATTCAAAGCTCTGGTATTTATTAGCTTAATTCAACAATTTAACTGTCCCTCAGCTTCCCGTGTGTCCAGGTGAGAGCAACATCTGGGCACAGTAGCATGAGTTTAAGTAAGGATTTTTTGGGGGGGTCAACACTTTTTCAGTCACCGTTCTGTTGGTTCTGTATTCATGGTACATCCAGTTAAGAACAAAGATTTTCACACATATTGATAGATTTCAGCTGAAATTAGTCTTTGGATTTTACCAGAATGTTTCTTCTGACTGAGTGGAATGTTGTGTGATTAGGTGTGGCTCAGTCAGAGCCCTGAATGGAGCTAACGATTAGGGTGATGGCAAGGAGAGCTTCCAAACTGATAGCCTTAGATCTCATGAGTTAATTTGTCAGAATATTCGTGAAAACATGCAGAAAGCTGCTCAGTTATCATGAGAAAAGCTTCGGGGCTGTGACACCAATGAAGATTTTTATATTGATTGTTAAGAAGATTATACTGCTTTTAATTAAATATAAAGAGACATTGAAATCATTTTTGGCTTTATCTGTTATTCTGAATATACTTTATAAATTATATTCTCAGACTGATGAACAGCTGATCTTAACTCCTTCTCTCCTTTTGGCAAAACTTCATCTTTCTTAAAAAATGAAGGGTTTTTTTTTTTTTTTTTTTTTTTTTTGAATGCTCACCTTCATTGGTAAAGAGCGGCGACTCCTCGGCATAGACCTCTCCCATTCCCACCTTGGTGAGCGCTGACAGGCTGAACTTGTAGCGAGCGGACCGGTCCGGCAGGCGCAGGATAAAGTCTGTCATGTTGGGACGGAACGTCTCGAACTGCTGGGGACCCAGTCTGGACCCGTTCACTGGACACAAACACAGAGCATGGTCATGGTTTACTGTGGCATCAGAACTTCTCAGTGTTAGAGGGCAATGACGGCTCCACAGATATGGTGATTGGATTTCATGAATTCTATTACTATCCCACAACCAGTCTTAGTTTTTTTTTTCCTTTGGAGTGAAAATTGTGGGTAAAACAGGAAAGGTCACACCAGCAGTTTGGCAGTAATTCAGTTATTTAAAACAAAGAACTAAAACTAATCAATAATATGTTTTTAAGCCATATTGTTCAGCAATAGTTGGAAGAATCACAAAGTAAATAAAGTCACCTCTCTGGTATACGAGTTGGTATCCAATTAGAATGCCGTTGGGTTCTAATGGTTTGCCCCATTCCAAGTAGAGTGTGTCCAGACTTCTGCGGTTAATCCTGAAGAACCTGGGAGCATCGGGAACTGAAAATATTTCAAGACAGAAGAGAAAAACATGAAAGGAACAGGAGAAAAGAAACAAAGAAACACGGTTAGACCAAATACTGGACATAAAGTTCTACAAGTAATTACTAACGACTAGTGGCTACAACAAATCTCTCAACTTTATACCAGTGTTGTCCAGTCAAAGCCTTTAGGGGGCACTGTGGTTAGTATGACTCAGGATGGTTTGTTTAAAGGAAATGATGTGACTAGTTCTGCATATGTTAAACATATCCATATCCATCTATATACACTATCAATTTTAATTAGATATTTGAATGAGCAAAACTTATAAAACATACAGGACAGAGTGTGCCTTAAATGTCTTTTAACAGTTTTACTAAAATGCATCTAAAACTAAAGACTCTCATGGTTTTAAAAGTAACTCCATCCAAAAATGTGTTCAAGTTCAGATTGAGGATGTTTTATTTTCTGAAAGTAATTACTCTTTTTTTTTTAAATAAAACACAAATATACAATAAAATCATCAAGTTCTAATGTTGTTGACAGGTTAGAGTGATGGAGCGCCCACAGGTGGCGACATCTTCTCCCATCACCCTGAGCAAAGGCATAAACCACAGGGGCATACGCTAAGTCGCAATTACTATGACGATGAAGAAGAAGACAACAGGAAGCGATAGGAGGATGATGGTTTGTTTTTTTGGGACAATGTGCAGCTGGCCCCACCAGAGCTCTCTCAGACTCACACAGTTCATAAAAAGTTCTGTGTCATTCCAACATGTTGAATCCATAGCTCTAATGTAACATCGCAAACACAGCTAGTGTGAATGACAGATATAACCTGAACATACCAACTAAAGGGTTGCATGACTCTCATACGACATTGATGTTAATGATAAAGTGTGGTTCGTTGGGACCTCACCGCCCTCCGCAGTGGTGAATTCCACGTTGTTGCTGGGTAGACTCTCAAAGCGACTGTTAGCCACAACCATGAACATCTTATATTTAGAGTAGGGCACCAAGTCTTTGAGAATCCCGGACGGTTCTGGCACAGTCGTGTAGAATCCAGTGGTCTTCTTCTCCTTGCTCACCACCAGCCCTGGAACCAGACTGGACTCGCGCCAGTAGTACAACTGGGAATTACGAAAGAGAGGACGCATGGGTAAGATGAAAAGTCAGAAAGTAGGGGGTCGGGGGTCTGCAGTGAAGTCAGTTCTCAATTCAAAATGTTCCTCATTCTCACTCTGTACTCCTTGAACTCCCCCTGGACAGAACTCAGATCTACAGGCTTCCAGTGGATATTTGCTCTGGTGCTGCCAACCTTCGACACCCGCAGCTCAGTGGGTGAATCAGTGGGCTCTGAAAACAGCGTGATATGTTTATTCAGGCGTTTGGTTTTTTTAAACAAAAACTTTTTTTTTCTTAATATTTATTGAATTTATACTCACTGTCTTCTCCAGAATATCCAATGACGATGTTAGACTCGGGTCCTGATCCCAAGTCATTCCTGGCCTGGATTTTTATCTCGTAAGGCACATATGTTTCAGTGTGGTGAACGACGTATTTGGTCTCAGACGTGGTCACGTTGGTCCAGTCGTCCCCGGAGTCTTTCCGTCTCCACCACACGTTGTACTGCAGGTTTGGGCCGTTTTTCTCCAGATCGCGCAGAGGCTAGAGAAACAAATCAAGCTTCAAGTTCAAGCTGCCCGCTTTGACGATTTGAAAAGTCTTAATGTGACGTAAAACAATCAACAAAGATTAAGAATTTAAACATTAATATTTAAGGAAAAGGATCGTGACATCCTTTTCGAACATGTCAAGATTACTGTGGTACAAAAATATGTCTTTAGCATTCCTTGTTCTTGTGCATGATTTTATACTACTATCATGTTCGAAATAAAATATAAAAATAAATAAAGTTAACATAAAATATGTTAACTAGACTTAACATATTTAACTAGACTTACAATCAGACTCCAACTACTGTTTAAAATTATTTCTAAACTGCAAGTGGAGAAGCTGGATTGTAATGTTTATGTTTTGGTGCTTCATTAGTCTTGAATCATGCAATGGTTTACGATTTACTCTTTATTATTGTAGATTTATTTTGATAACCAGCACTTGCATGTAGTTTTCATTGCTCAACAGCAGGGGGTCACTGGAGCAATCTAAGTTAAGGCATGCGTTGAATTTTGTAATGTATTTTTTGGCTCTAGTGGCCTGTATTTCACACTAGACTGACAGGGAAGGTGGGTTGTGAGAGAGTGGGGAAGACATGTAGCAGAGGTCAAGGGGCCAGGACTCGAACCCGTGGAGGACGCTCTAACACCTGCGCCACCAACGAGGCTGATTTCCGTTTTTAAAACTGGTTATGATCTTCTTCTTCAAATATTTTTTACTTCCAATCTCTCTGAATGATGAGCGATTTGCTTCCCTGATTCTGTTATTGTGTGGTGCCTTACCTCCCAGGTGAGCTCCATGTTGTCCTTATTGGATCCCCAACCACGTAGGTCTCTGGGGATGGCATCTGGGGCTGAATTTCAAAAAGATGAATAGATTTATATCAAACATGAGCACGTAGATGTTTTCTTGCAATCATTTTTCTAACCTATGTTAATAAAGACTATAGCGCGTGCTCTTGTGTTTCCCATGTTAAGGACTGGCTAACTGTCATCCCAGGCAAACACAATGTTATTGATTACTAGGTGACTTTGATCAAATTACAGTTCTTTACAAATTTTCACCAGGGGTGCCACATGGTACTGTTTATTGAGATCTTTACTAAATAAAGAGCTGTCCCTGTACAGCAAATGAAACATTTTACTAAATTATCGTCTGACTCAAGCCAGAGGCACACACTGAATGTGATTTTAGATTTGATGCTACTTACGTGCTGCAGTGGTTTTGTACCGAGGTGAGGGCTGACTAGGTTGACTCCAACCCACTGAGTTAATGGCAATGACCCTGAACTGATAATTGACATTGGGGGCAAGCTGCAGGATGACAGAGTTGAGGTCTCCAGGGTAAGAGGACAGGTTCCGCCATCTGCCCGGCTCCCAGTGGTTCTCCTCAAACTGGACCAAGAACTCTGCAGAATGCACAACGGGCTTCAGAACGAAACTATGTAAGGATGACACAGTAATAATTCTTCAAGGCTGTTATACTCCCTGTGTGACAGTAAGCCAAGTACAGCTTGTGCTGAAATATGGCTTTCATCCATTAAAAGCCTTATTTTAATCTGTGGATCAAAATATTAATCTGTGTATTTCTTGTCAGAGCCTCTTACCTCCAGTGGTCATTGTACGAGAGGCAGGAGTAAGAAGTGCTAGTTCACCATGGTGACATGAGCTGCATTTACATTAACCATAAAATTGCGCAACTTGAAACTACAACATTAAATTTGCTTAATGGAAAAACAGTAATTTAGAAAAAGTTGTTTTTTTCAATAAAGTATTTTTGAGCTAGGAATGACTTGGCTTTTCAGTCATATCAAGATAGATGCATTTTGCAAAACTGCACTGTAAGCACTTTATTCGCATCACACTAGTCACGTGATCAACAGACGGATGTTACTACTGGCAGAAACAACAAACAAGACGACAGGAAGTAGTAGGAGAATGATGCTTTGTTTTAGTTTTTTTTCTGACAATGTGCAACTGGCTCCAGCAGAGCACTCAGCTTCACACAGGTCATATAAAAGTTGTGTGTCATTCCAACATGTTGAATCCATAGTTCTTCTTTGAAATCATAGACTATAATTTCCCCAAAACTCCGCATACTAAGCCGAGTAGGTGGAGCTTGCCACTCCAACGACTGAATAAAACCCTGATGTCTCCTCTATTGTCTGATAGATGACGACTGAGTTACGAATATGTCTCATGTTTACATCTGTTGCTGCCTAGATTTTAATCACTTATCACGTGAACAACTATGTGATTCTCATTTCCTTTCTTATTTAATGGAAACACTTCGATTGCAAAGTTGTGTTTTTTCGACATTAGCAAAATATAGACAAAGATCTGCACCAATGTGTAAAGGAAACGCCGTTATTGAGACACAAAAACATACACACTCTCTCACCGCCACAGGCAACTTTTCTACGAAAAGGCAGTTGACCTAACATGAATGCCTTTAGCCAAGAGAGGAAGAATACATCTCAAAAAAAGCACAGGTACACACGGCCAGAGCGTACCTGTGACAGGGCTCCTGCGGTCGTTCCCAGGAATCCAGGTGAGGCGAACACTACGGGCTAACGGGTCTGACAGATCCAGATCTATTGGTGGGTCTGGACGGTCTGCAGAGGAACACAGGATAATACTGCTCATGAGCACACATACAACAACCTTCATTCATGGCATATTGTACACTAGGACTGCCTATACTTGGTTAAATGATCAAAACCTTTAGAAAATAAATAAAACAGAACAAAAACAAAAACCATAAAAGTAATAAAAGATCATAAAATCTTTCTTGTACTCTTTTCAACCAAAGGGCCAAAGAAAAAAAACTTTCACTGATATTTAATTAATTCTGTTATTCCAACAATTGAAAATGTTATTCTGTTCATCACAACTACAAACATCTGCACATATTATTGGGATTTTATGCGATAGGCCAACACAAACCAAAGTGCATACTTGTAAAGAAAATGTGTTAGAGGCACCAAAAGACACATAGCCTTAGGAACAATGGGATTTACCTTTTTAATTTGTCAGGAGATTATTTGTCAATCTCAAGCACAGATTCATATCAGATTCAGCATCTGTAGCAAGACTCATTTCCACAGACAATCTTAATCCACTCTGACTGAGTGGACACTTTTGTAAAGATGAACAAGCAACAAGGTAAGTCCCAAAACACATCGTTAGATTATAGCTTTTCACACTAAAATCAGATTTTTAGCTGACACACAGACTGCGACTCGACCGTCCGTCAGTCCACCAGACTGAACCGAAAATCCTGCCAGAGTAAACACAAACCGGTCGGCCAGTAAACCCAAAAGCTGCTCCAACAACATCACAATTTCACTCTTTCATTTTTTCCGTACTTTTGAGCTCCCATTGTGGATAAGTAGTACACTACTATTTTTTTTTTACAAGTAAAAAAGTTTTGAGTTAGCATTTTCCCCCAAAGCAGATGCATTTTATTTTGCCACCGTGTCTCACTTCCTGTCTGACTCGTGACAGTCTTAGGGAATCGTTGGCAGTCTGCAAGGGTTCATTGACTGTCAGAAGTTGTAACTGCTGCCTACATCATCCGACCTGATGTTCTGTCAGATTGCATGCCAAAACAGATCCGGTGTTTTGGCATGCGAAAACACTAAGTCTTTCGATGTAGAGACACATATGTCACATTATTTTTATATTTATGTAATGCGGTGCCTCGTTTGACTTCTACGTCACAATTCTGTTCTGCTTTGGTCTGACACATAAAAATCCCAATAAAAAAAAAAAGAAAAAAGAAAAAAAAATGTGATTGTAATGTGAGAAAACATAAAACAGGAGGGAAATTTCAAATGATGCAGATATAGAGATGGAAGCAAAAACATAAAGTAGATAATAAGGCATCAGGACATAAAAAAAAAAAAAAAAAAAACAAACAGAAGAGCTTCCAGCTGAGCCATGTGTTACCTGGAGGCAAGGTACTAAAGACTGAGGGGTTGTGGAAGGTGTCCTCTGTGGGTCAGGAGGTGGGGATAAAGGTTAGATTAGTTAGGTTAGTCTACAGCAAAGGAGAACAACAGTTAAAATATAACTTGAGTATCATTACAATTGAATTGTATGTAGCTTCTGATAAAGACATTCATATAATGCAGAGCTTAGAAGATAATTAAATAGATTACCTTCTTTAATTTGCTACATCTCAATACATGTGTTGTTTTCTTGAAACAAATTGCTATCTAGCTAAATGCCAGGCTGGAACATTTAGTGTTTGCTACAAGTTATTCAAACTAGCTTGCTTCACTACAAACGACATGTTATTATTCCATCATCAAGTTCTTCTTGTATGAAATACACAATGTACTGCTGCTGGTTATGCATATTTTCTTCAGACAATACATTCCATCACTATATGCACAGTGATCTACTCTACATCTATGAGTCTATGTGAAGACACTGAGTTAGCTACATTGTACTAAATGAACATCACTGGTACAGGGAGTTGTGTTTCTGTCAGACCACATCAGTGCTTTGCAGTACCATTCTGTACACTAGTGTACCTGAGACAGTGAGGCGGGCTGAGGCCGAGTCCTGGTCTATCTCAGATTTAACAGTGCAGGTGTAAATTCCCTCATCGTTCTCACTGACAGACGGAATAGTCAGGGACTCTTCATCCTTCTTCAACCTGGAGGACAGAAAACGGATCGGTTGTTAAGTAACATCCAGCAGCGTGTTCATTGAAAATTACGGTAGAGTAGCACAAGACTAAATTGTAGGCCCTCTGCTATTTTCCTTGCATGTGATAGGATTGATTAGTGACGATCTGGGTTACAGTTGCCACTTGGATCAATCGTAGCCCAGCAGTGAACATTTACGTGCCGTTCCGTATACAAAACACAGACGTTGGGGTAATCAAGCTTTTTCTGGTGCCATACCTCAACTGTGGAACCTGCTTCTACTAGATCTTCAATCTGTAACTGAACAGGATCTTTTTAAGTCAACACCAACAACGTTTTTCTATTCAGACCTTTACAAAATTAAAAACGTGACGCCACTTCTAGTTGTGTGTACTTGAGTTTTTCTACTTTCGGCCTTGTTTTAACCTTGTTTTTATTATTTTTTCTTGTATATGTTGATTTTGTCAAGCACTTTGGTCATCAATATTGTGGATGCTTAAAGGATTCAATAAATGACTGATTGATGGATCAATCAATAGCTTGGCTGGTTGGTTGGTTGGTTGGTTGGTTGGTTGGTTGGTTGGTTGGTTGGTTGGTTGGTTGGTTGGTTGGTTGGTTGGTTGAATTTGATGCAACCTCCACAATCTGGCAGTTAGAAGGACGGAAAGCCTGCCTACATTAATGACCTTGACCCCACTGAACGCTAGAAAGGTCAACTTTGGTCTGCTGTTTGTTGGTCGCAGTGACCAACACAACCACACTGCTTAGCCAAGAGGGTTTGCCAAGTTTTTTTATGGTCGTAATCCATATACTGAGCTCTGCTTTTCTTCACTAATGAGGGACCATTTAAAGACAATAAACAATTTTTCAGATTTATTGACAAACTGGAGACATTATATTATATATGATGACTACATTCAAAAAGTGAAGCTAGGAAAAGTGGAGTGACATGCAGCAAAAATCCCATCCAGGAAGCAAATTTAAATCCAAAATGTTCTGACTCTGGTATAAACTTTAAAAAAGCAGGCATCATACCTCCATCCCAGATCCAGGCGCTCTCCGTCCTTTGACCAGTTCACCGTGATGGGAAGGCTGGGGTCCGACACCACCTTACAGTGGAAGGTAGCTTTAGAGCCCCTCAAAACTGACTGGTACGTGGGAGCTTGAATTATACGAGTAGGCTCTAAATCAGAGTTAAAATGACAGAAAAAAAAAAGTAGAAATAGGCACACTGACAGTCACATAGTACGACATCTAAACAACATGTTTGAGGGACCTCATCAACACATTTCTATATCAAATTCTGTTTTACTAAAAGCCTTTCTCCCACTCGCCCTCCTCTGGCTTCTCTTCGTTCAGGGATCACAAACTAGTTAAAGTGGTTCACTCCTCTTAACACCTTCACCTCCAACAGAAAAGGAATAACATACATCTGAAGAGGAGAGACATGATCAAGTGGTAGAAACAAAGTTCTGAGGAAATAAAATAAAACGATTAATTACAGACATTCCTTCTTATGGCCAACTATTCCTAGATTGCTAATTACCATGTACATAACTCAGATATCGTAAATGTACTTCAACTATCCACTCGGTCAGTTTTAATCACTGTAGATGCTTTTCACTGCTGAGTTTAAACTACCAATCTGTCCAAAACTCTTCTCCGTGTCTGTTTTTTTTTTTTCATTTGAGTTTTGAAAGATGAAGCCATTTTTTTCCCACCACCTGTTAAACCTCAAATTCCTGATGGTGTCTCGCTTTTCTTCTATTTATCAAAAAAATAATTCCTGATGTCTTCTAATTGTATTAAACTTGGAATGCAAATGGACACACAAGGCATGTCAAGAAAAGGCACTGAAGAGCTTGACTCACCCCAACCAGCAGGCTATTTGGCACAAGGAAGGAAAATCACTGTTCAAACTATCATGAAAGTTAGTATTTAAGCAATGTCTGACCTTTGACCTCCAGCTGGACCTGGTTCTCAGCGTTGCCCAACATGTTGTTAGCCACACAGGTGTAGATGCCCTCATCCTCCTTTCGAGCGCGTTTTATCTCCAGGGTGCCGTTGATGTAGGCCCGGTACTGACCCCCATCCAGCCCACTGCCCTGGCCATTCTTAAACCTCCAGAGTAAAAGTGAAGGTTAGTTGTGGTTAACAAACAAAAATTCCCTAAAACACATTAATACCAACCAATCCGATATAGTTTTAAATTTAAAATAAGAAACATTACAGAGACACAGGACTTACAGCTGATATAACTAAATTGTGCGACGTGTCAGTGACTTGGTAAGTCATTCTACATCGCAGGAGCTGTTAGTTTGAAAAAGCTATGAGATGCTCACCAGCGCAGCTCGGGTAAAGGAGAGCCAAAGAAAGGGCAGTTGAGGAAGGTTCGGTTGTTCATGACGACTTTGATTAACTGATTTTTGGGTCCCAGCATCCGTGGAGCCATGTCTGTAACATGGAAACTAAAGGTAACAACACTGAAACAAGGTCATTGGGACACTTTTTAACATTTCTAAGAAATGATATCTTGATGTGTTTGGAAGGTTAAACAAACGAACTGGTCCTGATATAAAGCTTTATTGATTTACAGTTTTGTCCCTGTTCCTGGCAGTTTGTGAACATTATGCAGGAGCAGCTGCAGCTTTTGGTCACGTCCACTCAGTTCATAGAATAAAAGAACAATGTTCATTTTACTCAAACATATACTTAAAATCAGATAAGCTGATCATTTTAATTACACACATATATATGTATAGCTTTACAAACTGCTAAACTAATTCCTTTAACTTATTCTGTTTTTGACCTACATTTTTACACTGTTTTCAAACAGTTCACCTTCAGTTCAGCTAATTTCAGTTCCCACTACTCTGTCTAAACATGGCCGCCTCCCTTCCTGCGTCTCACCGAGAACACTGACGAAGGCGTTGGCCAGCAGGTAGCCGTGCTGGTTGGAGGCGTTGCACTGGTAGACCGCACTGCTTCCGATCTGCACCCCGCGGAACAGAATGGTGTCACCGAGAACTTCTCTGTTTGTACTTGTTGGAGTTTCTGTGATCTCTAGAAAAAGAGACACATAAGGAGAAAATGAAGAGAACGAAGTATAAAGATAGATAAAATGACAAAGAAAGGGGAGCATTTTTACAGCTTAAAACTTTCACCAGAACAGATTTTATTCATCCGTTCATCCATGTTTTGTACTTGGCTAATCTATGAGTTGGAACTCATTTTGACTTTCCAATCATGTTGAACAAGAAAGCAGAGCATGGCCTTAAAATACGCCCACAGGTGAGCCTCTAAGTAATGCAAAGATGGCAGTCAACCAATCAGAAGTGTCTCCCACATCCATTGTCCACTGTCCACTGCTTAGACAGATAACTATCATTATGTATGTGAACTCCTGATTTCGAAGACATTAACAAATAAATAAATAAATGTCTTTCCCTCATTATTGTGGAATTTTGCAAATAGAAAATATTTTGATAATTCTAAGAGATTTAAAATACTGGAAGTTTAGATTGGTCAGATTTAACATCATAAAATGAGGACAAAAAGTCTTTTCATGTATTTTTGCTTATGTAACACAAACCTTACATCAAGAACTACAACTTCCCAGTAAGAAATCTTTTTTGTTATATTTTTAAGAGGAGAGGTCACTGAGAACCACGTTATAACTGCAACATGTGTGCCAGACATGAACTTCCCCCTGTTGATTGGGATACAGAACCCACAGAGCCAATAATGGGGACACTTTACTGCATCTCCTTAAATGTCTAAAATAGTGGCCAGATTTGTCATGCCACTTGGAGACATCACATAAAAATGATCCTGTATAGTTAAATGTGGCTCTTCTCAAGACGGATTAAACTAATCGTTGAAAGTCCATTTGCCCCAAATTTAACAAAAGCAACAAGGAGCTAAGGGTAAAACAAAACGAGTCAAAAAAGAAGCCGTACTGTTTATTGGCTCGCCGTTCATAAGCCACTGGATGTTGGGCTTAGGGTTGCCATTGGCTCGACACACCAAGCGGCCATTTTCCTCTGGGGCCAGCACCAGGTTTGTGGGTTTGTCTAACCAGTAAGGAGCAGCTGTGGGGGGGAAAGGGAGCCAGTTTAGCCTAATAACACAGGTTCCTTCATTTTGTTACAACAAGCACTGTCTCGTCCTCACCTTTAACTTGGACATTGATGGAATGGCGTATACTGCCCAGACGGTTGTCTGCCATGCAGACATACTCCCCAGCATCCTCCTCTGACACACTGAGAATTTTCAGAGTCTTATTAAAGTTCTGAAACTTCACCTTTTGTGCTGGCAGGTCTCCCCCCCTCTTAAACCACTTGATGGAAGGAGTCGGACTGCGAGGAAAACGGGCGGAGAGAGACACGTGTAAAACTTTGACGTAATAACTCTGTTGGTTGGATTACATCTAATACAGCAAGAAGAAACAAAGTATCCCCCTGAACAACACCAAGATATCTCTCTCTCTCTCTCTCTCTCTCTCTCTCTCTCTCTCTCTCTATATATATATATATATATATATATATATATATATATATATATATATATATATATATATATATATATATTAAAATTGTCACTATGTCGTAACATTTTTGATCACAGTTTTGGTATGATAATACGTAAAAAAAAAAAATCGAGTTCTTCTGCTTTCTCCCAGTGCTAACTAGTAACAACCAATCACAGCCAGGAGGAGGGTCTTAGTGATGTCAATCACCACTCTGTGTGGTGCTGCTCACCTCCTCCTTCCCCTCCATGCTCTCTGCTATGCTGCAGCTAGCATACCCTTCAGCAAATGCTAAGGTTAGTTAGCATGGCTACCCTATGACAGTGGATAAACAGTTTTCCTGCGACAGTAAGTAGTTTCACCACCATTAGCACATTGAGCAGCAAGTACGTGAGGTTACTTGCTATCACTAAGACCCGCCCCCTGACTCTGATTGGCGGTTTTTGGTTAGGTGAATTTCTTCAGACAGATCTTCAGATCTTTTCACATGGCGACAGTTTTACAGTAGTAAAAGAACATCTTTTTTTAACGAAAGTTACATATTGCAGCTTTAATAGCATTGGGATTGTAGAAGTTTTTTTTTTTTTACAATTTTTTGTTATAAAATGCAATAACTATAAAATGGCATTTAAGTAAGAAGCTATGTATGTATGTATGTATGTATGTTTTAATTTCCTCTCACTTGTATGTATGTGTATGTATGTGTGTGTTCATGCTCACAGCCCAGCAGCGATACACTCCAGCAGCAATTGCTCATCTCGTAGCACCATTTTGAAGCTCCCACTCCCTTCAGGAGTCAGGAAAGACGGCGACGTCTCTGCTATTTTGCGGCCTGAAAATGAAAGACGGTGGCAGGTTGTTATAGGGACAAACACATTGATTGTCCCTGCAGCGTGAACCACGTCCCACCAGCAGCTGAACATCCTCCCTCTCACGTCATCTAACAATATTATTCCGATCATTTCCTCGTGGCTGGGTTTCGCCTGAGGAAGAAGCTAACATCCTCGGTCTTGTCTGACAGGAAGACATTAGAAAAGACAGATACAGCACAGGGCTCATTCATCTTCACTCTCATTGGATTAGAAAAGCAGCACATCAGATTAGCCAAGTTTGCGTTTGGAAACATATTTAAGTTAATTTCTCATTAGCCATTAGTGCACTGATGAAAAATGATGGTAATAATTTCCAAAAGAAAAATAAAAAACAACCTTGCTGGTTTTTGTTCTTTTGAATGCTAAAGTTAAAAGAAGGCATTTGCTCCAGTCTGTTCTCCAGATGAAACCTGAATTATTCATGCTACTCTGTTACCCCAACATCTGAAACAAACCTGGTTAATCCAGGTGACATCTGAGCATCTGATTTGGTCATAGAAATATGTCTCTATTACCAAAGGTCACAGGAAGTTATCCTGTGTGAGGCTTGATCTCATAAAGCCCCAGTTCAACACCACAGTTATATCTTATTATTGTAAGGGATTTGCACTTAAGAAGCAAGGTGGGTAGGTTCGTAGAAAAACACATTATTCATCTGGAGGAGGAAACGTTTCTATTACAAAGAATAGAAAGTGGTCATTTACGTTACCACTCAGAGGCCATAACATTATTTATTCATTAACAAATTACACAGTCGATCAACAATAAAGACTGTTTTAACCTAACAGAAGCTGCATTTCCATTAACCATAAAAGTGCGCAATTTGAAATAGGGAAAATAAATTTGCTTAAAGGAAAGACACCAATTTAAAAAAAAAAAAAAAAAAAAAAAAACTCAGGTTTTTCTACAAAACCTTTTAGCGCTAGGAGGTGGTGGCTTCTCAGTCGTGTCAAAATATATACATTTAGCAAAACTGCAAAATAGAAACACTTTTTTCATATCACACAAGTCACATGTTACTACTGGCGAAAACAACAAAGAAGACGTCAGGAAGTAGTAGGAGGATGATCTGGACAATGTGCAGCTGGCTCCACCAGAGCTCTCACAGCATCACACACTTCATAAAAAGTTGTGTCATTCCCACGTGTTGAATCCATCACTCTTCTGTAAAATCGGCGTCTGCAATTTCCCCGAAACGCTGCATACGCAGCCGCTCCCAAGTAGGTGGGGTTTGTCGCTCCAATACCTGAACAAAACACCAACATCTCCTCTGATGGTTGGTAGATGATGAGCGCTAGCACCATGTTAACTGTTTACATCTGTCGCTACCATGATTTTCAACAACAAATAAGCTTATTCACATGGGATTTTAATTTTATTTCTTAGTTAGTGGAAACCCCACAATTGTAAAATTGTGTTCTTTTTCTAGATCAGCAGAATATAGACAGAGATTTGGGCACATTTGTAATGGAAACACAGACACAACAGCCTATAGCAACAGAGCAATGGAGAGTTTAAAGAGCTCGTAGATTAAGCAGTTAGTTTAGGTTAGCTTCAGCTTCACTTGGCATAGATTAGTGCGTACACCATGTTATTGTGAAAACTGACTAGTGGGTTATCAGGAAGTAGACCACTGTGACGTAAACAAACTCACCACCGAAGGGATCAGAGGCATTGTAAGATGTGTCATTATATGGCTCCGCTGGAAATAGCAGGTGCAAAAAAATGGCTGATCAGTGCAAAAACTAGCTGAACTTCAGTTGTACTGAATAAACCTGGAAGATTTATTGAGTTTGTTTAATTCCATATAGTGCTATATCAGACTTATTAAGTAACGTTGGTTGTTTTTCATGTAAACCAGCTGTCTGTTACTAAAATGGCAAAAATATTACTCATATCTGGAGGAACATATGTGTTCTTATTAGATTCATGGGAAGCACATTGAAAAACAGATTTTTCTTTTTTTTTCTTTTGGCAAGTTGATTTTTTTTTAAATCAACAGAAAAGCACTAGTGGATTTAAACTTTGGAAGATTTTAGAAGATACTGGATAATTATATCTCTTCAAAACACTAGTAGGAAATAAAATAAATGAACACAGCATTAAGCTGCTAGCTGTCCTATCAGATTACTTTCATAGGGCCAGTTTTCAAACTTACTTTATAATAAATATATACATTTATCGTGTTAAGAATTTTGAGTTATGATCATTTCCAACAAATGATGCTTAAAACCCCCTAAAACTGTCTATACTTTCAGAATTGACAACTTTTCTTTTTTTCTCCACTATTTGTTCATTAAGCTAAAAAACAATACGTTTGAAAATACAGTTACCAAATGAAGTTTATTCATTAGAAATAGGAATGTTTTTCAAGAGCAGTATTTGTGTTTGTGGGACTGTAATTGCCATGACACACAGTTGTACACCTGCCTAAAAAAGATGTCACAAATACTTCTTAATGTCACTTTTATCATTATCACAATAGTACTACGAAACATTGTGACAAAACGTTGTGTTCACTGGTGTTCACATGTTGCCACTTACTGGTCTGAACTTTGAGGTTGAAGGGGTTCTTCTGCTGGATGGTATATGTGAAGTTGAAGCGAGCGTTGCAGCTGTAGTCTTTTTGACCATCTTGGACCAAAACATTGGAGAAATACAGGTCTCCATTCAGACCCATGGAAACCCTCCTGTCCTGATGGATGGGGGTCATGTCTGTGGACCAAAGAAAGGAAAACATTAGCACTATAGGAAAGTACAGACAAAAAAAACTCAACGTTGCTTTCATTCCTATCTTATTTAGTTTTCTTGATTTCATAGATGTGCTACATTAAATTGATCTGGGAGCTTTTAATTAAGATGTTTGTGTCATGTCTTTCAATCAATCATTGGAAAGGTTATTGAATCTTAATGATTTTCCTGAGTGGAAAATAAAATCAGTACAATAAATAGATATAGATATATGCATGTCTATAGAGATAGACATGCATATGTTAGAGATGCACCCAAAAAAATCTGTTGCATGCGTAGCAACAGATTTTTCAATAGAATCCGGGTAGGTTCTGTTGAAAATCGGGTGAGCAACTGATTGAAAGCTCAAAAACCTGATCAGATTAGAGAATGTACTTTCTACAAGAGCTGGCAGGTCACAACACTCTTCTGTACAGATGCTGTCACTGCAGAAAGATGATTCAAAGTTAGCTAGTTTCAATGTCAGTGAGGTCATTGAGAATAAAATCTGAATCTGTGTGTTTTTTTGGGGGGCGGGGTAAAGGTGAAGATACAGATATAGCTGTTTGTCTTTAGTAATGTTAAATACGTTAATTATGCTGGTTTGATCTGTGGATTGAAACGGGAGTAAACAGACTTTCCAGTGAGAAGTTTTGCTTAGTTTTCTTTTTGACAAGACACATTATTATAAAGACAAAAAAAATCTTTATTATTTTTGCTTCATTTCTTTAGTGGTGACTGGTCTCTTAGTCATAAAGAGGATGTTAAGTTTTAAATAATTGAACTCTCTCTTTTCACTGTTTGGGATATGCAAATCTGCTCTTATTGTTCTCAGAAATATTGCAGCATCAGCTGCTTGGAAAAGTGAAAAAAAGAATAAAAACAAATCACTTTCAAGACTCAGAGTCTTCCTCTTGCTTTCCTGATCAGGTTAAAACAAGCCAAAATATGCTGATGCCTGCACACATTTCTCTTTGTGTGATGAGAGTGAAGAGGGTATTTCATTTCTTAAAAAAAAAATAAAAAAAAACCAAGTATGTTCTTCTTCTGATAAGGAAATATCAAGTCTATGAGGAACGTTTGCTCACTGCTGTCCATCCAGAATATGAGTGGAGGAGGCAGGCCAGGCGGTGGGTTGCAGGTTAGGACCAGAGGGGAGCCTTCAACCACCTGCACCGGGGCCAGCACTTCCTTAGGCCATAACGGGGCCTCTGAAAGACAAAGGGCAACAGAATCAGAATTCATTTTATTGTCATTATGAACAAAAGAAAGCACAATGAAATTTGAAAAAGAACTCTCGAAGGTATGTCAAATAATTTAAAACAATAATGCATAAGTATATTTCAAAAACTATAAAGATATAGTAGAAACACAAAGAAACAACTGGAATGTTAAGGAAAAATAAATAAATAGAAAATGTTCCCTGTGAACTCTCACTCGCCCCCTATACCATTCTCTCTCCCTCTGCCCTTGCACCTGCAACCTGTTTCTAATCATCCATCTAACTCAAGTTCAGTGATCAACCTCCCCAGTCTACATACAACTTATTATCACTTCCTCCTTGTTTGTTCCTCATGTCTAATCCTGCTACTTTGCTGTGGTCCCTGGTTCCTGTCATTTTTTTTGTTCTGCTCTGGCTCCCTGTGCTCCTTTTGATTTTTGTAAGTTTGTTCCTGTAATTTTTTCATTTCATTTCATTTTTCACTATGATCTATGGTCCCAGCTCCGGTGTGCATTTTGGTCCAGCCATAAACTCATAAGTCATTACAGATATAGATTAATTTATTATGCAGAATGGAATATTTTGAGCTCTTTTTTTTTTTTTTTTTAGTTATTTTGATGATTCTGGCTTGGAGATCATGAAAACCGAGAATTCAGATTCTCTGAAAATTAGAATATCACAATGGATCAATAAAAAAGGACATTTTTAATAGAAATGTCATTTTTCCTGATCATTTCTATGCCCTCAGTAATTGGTTGGGCTCCGTTTGCATGAGTCACTGCATCAGTGCGCACCAGTGTGGTCGCTCTTCTTCCTCCATAGATTCTCTGTGGGGTTTGGGTCAGGACAGTTCGCTGGGCAGTCAATCACAGTGTTGCCATGGTTACTCAAACAGCTTTTGTGGGCCGCAACTGACTCCTGCTGAAAAATTAAATCAGCATCTCCATAATGTCCAAAAAACCTGTCAGCAGAAGGAGCCATGATGTGCTGGAAAACATCTTTCAAGCAGATGGCTGTGTTGACTGACAGCACTCCAAATCCAGGTTCTTTCTTGTGGTGGCGTTGAAAAATGCACAGAATGATGTTAAAGATAATGAGATATTTACATGTTTACACTATGCACAAAACACGCAAAGTGTCACCAAACAATCTTGATGTGGACTGAAGATAAAACGCTCTCTGGATGCCATCAGGGGCCAAATTCAAGGCTGTCAGTTGAATCGTACTTTCATGGCGCTGGCAGGAAGTCCCCGAGGCAGATCGCAATCAGAGTTTCAAATGGAATTCAAAACAATCGTCATTGTAAATATGATACATAGTGAAGGTCCTGGAATTACATATAGCAAGCAATGTAAGGACAAGACCTGGGCAGTTTGAAAAGCACAGGCGTGGTCTACATAGACACTGACATTGAAAAAACAAAAAACAACTTTAAATCATTTAGATGTTGTTTAGATGTTTTTTCAACAAAATGCTCTCTGTAAACACATTTCTAACAATAAAAAACTTTCTTACTGGAGACGCGGAGCAGTATTTTGTTGGACAGGGCCATTCCGAGCTCATTTGAGGCGAAACACTGGTACTCTCCCTCGTAGTCCTCTGGTCGTCCTCCGTTATGGAACCCTACCTCCAGGGTTCCTGAGCGTTTTCTCATAGTCACTCTGGGGTCTTTGCCAATGTTGAACAACCTCCCATTCCTCCTCCATAAGAAACTGAGGAGCATTCAGGGAATTAACAATTACATTTCCAACATTTAAACTGCATAAGAAAAATAACGTATGCTAAGCACTGTAGAACTGGTGTGATGTGCTCCATCTTCCTGGTCTTAGTGAGAACACCAGTAGCAGCGTTCTGCACAATCTGCAGCTGGAGGATTGTTTTTTTTTTTAGGCAGACCTGAGAAGACACTGTTGCAGTAATCGATTCAACTAAAGATAAACATATGGATGAGTTTCCCTAAATCTGGGACATTAGATCTTTAATCCTGGAGATGTTCTTCAGATGATAGAATATTGACTTTGTTACTGTCTTTATGTGGCTTTATTTCAGTCCAATAATTGAAGCTGTGTGCTCATTCTAGATCCTTCGTCTTTAGGTCCAAAGATAGTAACTTGGGTTTTGTAAAAACACAGGTTTAGATTAAATGAGCCATGAGAAAAGAGCCAACATCTATATTAAAGATGCACCTATAAACCAGTGGAACCAAGCTTTCTGCTGTGTGTTTTCAGTGACAGAGTGATGACAACTGAGTGAGTCAGTAAGGTCTTTTGGTGACAATTTTATAAGCATGAATGGTCAACTGAGTGCATTATGGAAGTACAATGCTCTTCCTGTGAAAAGAAGAGGCAGTTTGTGAACAGAGCAGCGAACAGTGTCTGTGTGCGTGTGTCAATGGAAAGTCCCCACAAAGATAGCCTCGCAAACATGTGTGTGTGAGTGTTTGTGTATGCGTGTGGGTGCATGTGGAATGTGTGTCTTACGTAAAGCTGGACTGTATCCAAACAAACAATGTCCCACTGTCCTGAGTGGTCCTCGCCATGATGATGTAACGGAGTGTGTGTCCAACGGTCTGACAGGCTGGACGTTTCAGTGTGTATGTTGAGTGGCACTAAGACTAGATTTGGAAACTGGACTAACAAAAACTAAAACTCTACATTGCTCCAATGGCTCCTACAGCTCATGTTAATATAATTATTGCTACATAATTGTCACATCATTTACTCCTGAGGTCCACTGATGGGGATCATGTCATGAAAATTTATCTCAAAATATTATTTGCAGAAAATACATATAAACACAAGTATGGACTTTCTCAGAATAGACTATAGTTATTAAATTGTCTGAATGCAAAGAAATTAAGTAATAACACCACCTGAACTTCAGTAACTTCAGTCAGAGATGATTGTGTTAGTTGTGGATGGTTTTTCATTTGAACTTTAATAATTTCTGGAAAAATAAAAGAATGAAAGGAACAAAGCAAACAAACAAACAAACTGCTGTTTTGTAGTTTGTGCTAGTGTGTGAGAGTTAGGGACCACAACCACGTGTTCCCAGCTAAAATCTGTGAATACTTGAGACCCCCCATAAAGACTAATTATTACTGCCCATTTTAATAACTCAAACACTGAAAATCCCTTAAGATGCAGCAATAAACACAGTGTAAACTGTCTTAGTACGACCACAGGAGCTAGCATCTGCTGTCTCCGCTTTTAGGGCAACAGCCAATCAGTAACAAGAAAAATGAAAGGTTCTGCTGGATTGGCTGCTTTGCAAATGCCAGCCAATAGAATGTCAGGTTGCATTGCGCCCATTTATTTCAACTTCCAAAGCTGAAATAAAGCTTAAGACAGAAAACTCTTTCAGCAGGTGAAGCCATTTCTATATAGGCTAACAAAATAATCATCATTTGGGAAATGAAGCTGAATTTCCCTGTCTGATCTCCAATGAGGGAGCCGAATCAGAGTGTTTTTGTGTTTGTGTGTGTGTGTGTGTGTGTGTGTGTGTGTGTGTGTGTGTGTGTGTGTGTGTGTGTGTGTGTGTGTGTGTGTTGCGAGGGCTCTGTGAGTGCTTACATTGGCATTGGGTTACCCTTGGCTTCACACTCTATGATGATGGTGTTATCTCTGGGGTCGACGATGTAGTCCTTCACTGACTGTTTGATTATGGTGGGGGGCTGCTTCACTGTGGGGCATCCAGACACAAAGCAACAGCTTATACATACACCATACAGGTAGACACACTCAGGTACACACACCGCTCTGATATCTACATCAACCGCAAACCACAAACAGCTTTAAATCCATTATTGAGTAATTCAAAGTCATTAAATGAGCTATGCTGGAGAAGGAGGTTTAGAAAAAGGTAGAAAAAGGTTTAGAAAACATAAAACATAAAGAGGATGTCATTTTGGACCAGTTTGTTGGCTTTTATACTCTGAAGTAGCAACCTTTACACCTCAGAACCATTTTTTACCTTTAATCCATCGGCAAATAATCTGTTTAGAGCCACAAAAGGTACATGAAACACATTTGATTATTTTAACTATATCTGCTACAGGAAGTATGTCTTGATTTTTAAATGAGAGGGGGGAAATGTATTTTTGTTTTTTTGGTTTTAAAGTAAAATAAAAAATAAAAAATCTACTCTTATACTAAGGTAATGAATTCAACGAAATGTCAAATTTATCAAAATTACATCAAAGTAGCAACCAAAAGACAAAGAAATTACATTATAGAAAATAATATTTATTAGACCATTATTGTCATTCTTTGTAGGAAATGCTATAAATATGCTCCATGAAAAAATGCTAATGCTAGCAATTTTTACTACTGTCACATTTTAAAATACTAAGTCTTTAGTGATTTTATTTCCCTCCAAATTTATTAAGACCAACATGAGGCTCTGGAGCCGCAGGTTGAGAAACCTCAACTTCAGAAAGAAAACAGGAAGAGAGGACAAAATAACTAAATGAGTAAGAGAATCTCCTGAATCAGGTTACACCAGATGTGAAAGAGGATTTCACATCTGGCCCAGCATATTTGCTTGCCAGCTGTACGCCAATCTTTTTTTTTTCCCGCATCTCTATAACGTTAGAAGCATTTGAAAGAAAATAGCATGCGTGACTGCAGCCAGCATTTAAAATGTTTAAGCCTGAAAATCCCACAAGAGCACTGAAACATTAAAGCTGATGAACATCTATAATTCACTGAAAACCTGCGATCTACTTCAACGGTATAGTCAAAGCCAGGCCTTCAAACATGGCGGTAAACATACTCTGATCGTGAGGACGAGGAGTCGACTTCTCTTGTTTTCCAGAAAAAGCTCTTTTAATTTTCCTTGCCATTTTTGTGATGAAATGTAACGTCCACATGAATCGTTTATAAGTAAGCAGTTCATAGTAGATGTGCACTGAAACATGACTGGTGTAGTTTTTTTTTTTTATAAAAGGAGCAGCAACTCGTTCAATCCTAAAACATCTGCAAATGTTAATAGTTCCAATACAATCCTTTGGATTTTATATTGTCTGTTAACTAGACAGACATTATATTCTTCTTGATAAAACAGATATTAACTTGTTTCACCGAAGTTAGCATTTGATTCAGAGCTTTCAGTTTTCCTATCAAGTAAGAGAAATAGATCTTTATTCCACATTGGAAAATGGCATCAGTGAATGAATGTAACACAGCGATCTGAGCTCCAACTTCGAAGACTAATGGAAAGCACCAATGAAGTAAAGGCTGGTTCAAACTAGACCACTTTGGAGCAGTTTGGGGGAAAAGTATTAAATCCTGGAACAGGATTCTGCTGCACTTACTCACAACAGATTAAATGTGATTGTATGAATGCCAGAAAAATGGAGGATGTAAATTGTTTTCCCCTTTCCTTTGTGGGGTTCCAACTTTAACTGGGAGAGTTATTCATGGACAGCAAAGTGTTTCACATTTACAGACTGCCTGGTGTGGTTCATAAAGGAGCCACAATCAGCTGAGCAGCAGAAAATTACAGTCAGACCTCACTGGCTCGACAGTAGAAGGCCCTCAGTAGCTATGGTTACATACGATTGCCACGCAGATTTTGAGCAAACTTTATACATTTTGTAAAAACAGAAAGAAAAAAGAAAAAACAAAAACAAATTAGGCATGTTTCCATCTACTGATGTGGAGTGGATCGACCAGGCTACATAAAGCATCATTATAACCGATGTTGATGTTATGCATGGCTTTAATAAAGTTAAGTGCTCACTACCTTCAGCGCATCAACTCATTAATGACTTAACAGCTGAGTGGATTTAGGAAAATCCACTCAGCTGAGTCTATAACTTTTATTGTTATTTGTTAGTTTTGCAGTTTCCATCAACCTTTACAAATGCGATACTTCAAAAATGTGCATTAAAAAACCAGCTGATGGCAGATGTGCTATGCTAACTGCTGGGGGAAGAGATGCAGAAGGAACGACATGCTATGAAATACTTACAGTCTTGCTGGATCTTTGCTGTTAGTCCGGTGTGAAACAAAAAGACAGAAAGGTTTGATAGGGTGGTTAATATTAATAAAGACATACTGATTACTGTGTCATGTTAAAACTGGAGGATACAGGTTTTGGAGAGCTCCTAGCTCATCCATGCTACCTGTTTTTAGTTTTTGTTAAACTGAGCAGTTAATGTTATTCATCAATATGTTCAGTCAGGAATCAAACTAAGAGTTATCAGTATACTAATAACTAGCAATAACTATATTATTTATATGCTTTAGCATAATGCAGGTAACAATCAATGACAATATCAAGCAATTGATATATGTGCGCTTCATCTCCTTCTGCTCATCTCTTAAAAAGTATCTGCTTGAAATATGGCTGATCTCTACTTTACCGAATTAATGGGCGGAAGCGACACAAATCAAGAAAATGTGGTGAGTTGGAGCTGAGAGAGAGTTTGACCACCTGAGAGCCACTACTGTAACATAGTTAGGGTGTATAGTATGTAATCTATGTGACAGAAGAGATGTGACATTTAGACTGTAAAAGAAGCCGAGGACACTCACCTGGAAGAAGATTCCATACCGATGGAGCACAAGCAGTTTCAAAAAGAGAAAAAAAAAAACACACTTTGTTATGGTGTTCAGGAAAAAACATCACTAACACAATGTCTCTGTGTGTTGAACTGACAGTAAAAAATATTAAACTGGAGAGAACAACAGATTTAAAAGATTTAAAAGGCCTTCATGTAAGCACAACCATAACTACACAATGTACAGACTCAGTGCACTTCTACCTAAAATAGGACAAAATGACAAAGCACCAAATAATGATTTACTGATGTGTGAGTACATATTGGTTTGGTGTTAATTCTTTTTTTAATAACTTCTATTTTCATCAGTATTTTACTCTGCAATAACAGCTGCCAATGACGACTCAACTCCTTATTGTTAGTCATCAGTGTGAGTAATGTGTCCCTGTTTACAGGGAGGAGTTTATCTCTGCTGTCACCGAATGCTTGGTTATATACCCCTGGTTTCGTTATGCAGTGTGGTACCGGTCAGCGCGGTTTGGTTGGGTGTTTGATGGTTTTATGCTGAGTTCAGGAGGAACTCACCATTGGAGGAAACCCAACCCTAACATTCCATCATACTACTGAGACGACGAATGTGATGCGTTAGCATTAGCACATCTCGTGCTTGCTAGCAGTTTTCCTGTCCTTCGATCAAAGGACTGTGATGTATGACACTAGTAGCTCCATCCTTACTGTACCCGTGTCATTGTCCTACACGGATCGACAACTGAAGGGGTCCAGGAACGGCGTGGTACGAGTCGGACGCATGGGCCGCTTTTACATTAGAAACAGACAAAATAGTGCACCAAAACACACCCACTTGTCCCCTACTGCTCTGTGGAAATGAGATATTACCGGCAGGGACGGAAAGTCAGTGACTCTGTGCAGTTTGCTGTGTTTCCTTTATTAGAAAATTTCTTCTCAGCCGTCTTAATTTAATCAATGGAAACGGACTGGTCCACGTTACAATCTGGATTGAGTTGGGCTGCACTTAACTCATTTAGAATGCCACTCATCCAGTTTTCCTCTAAGGGGTGGACATGCCAGTATGTCGACAGAACATAATAGTCTGGGGTCCAAAGGTCAGGCACAAAAGAATACCAGAGTGAGATGAGAAGAGAGATGGAGCAGTTCACAGCTGACAGAGGTTAGAGGTCAATGCAAGTCTGTCCATGTGTGTAAAGATACATGAGCCAGGTGTGTTTAATACCCTGACAGAATCAGATACGGAAACAGAAATAAGGGCAGTCTTGTTTTTCTCCCTAGGCCTTTTTTATTTGTTGCTCTGGGTTTCACAGAGGTAGACGGGTGTTGCAGCCAATGTACGTGTAGTTTCAGGCAGTATGTTTATAATAAAATAAATTATGAATGTTGGAATCATATGAAGAATGATAATGTTTTAATTTAAAACAAATGAGTTCTTAAACTATTATCTACAGATAGGAGGCGATCTGTTCTGATCACTATCTGAATGAATTAGATTCTATCTACAGCGTCACATGTTTTCCTGTCAAATGGTATTTGTAATAAACTAAACACAGTTACTAATATATTTACTTATTGGGTCATATCATGTATTTTATAACGGCATATGCACGCATCATTATTGAAGAGGTTTTGCAGAAACCATGATGTGTTCAGGAACCCAGAGTCCGGCTGCGTAAAGAGAACACATAGCTTTTTGTTCTCCGCCTCTCTGTTCCGGCTCTAGCTGTGTCTTATGAAATGTGATTCACTTCTAAAAACAAAAAACAGCTGGCTTGTTTTTGTGTCAGAGTTGATAAAAAAAACAAACCAGTATGTTTTCATGTAAATTATTTTTTTTTGTAATTGGGCAGTGTTTACACTTTTCAGTTTGTTGAGTGACTTACGATCTAGAGGAACTTCGATGGCTGCCGCTTCCTGCCACAGCAGCAGTAATGACAGCAACGTCAGGGCTGCATGCCCAACCTTTCCCAACATTTCTCTCCTTCCAACTGGTCGCATGCAATCCTGCCCTCTGCTGATTGGTCAGACAGTTCCTCTGACAGCTCTGGAGGGGAGACACGAATGCAAAAGGTTTTTAGAAAGATCAAGATAGTGCAGCAAAGTGTACTATGGTATTGTAAATAGGTCATGGAGAGGTGAGCATGAGACTGTCTTTCAGGTCTGGCCTACATTCGCAGCTCGGTTGCTCTGTGGCTCTCCAGAGAAAAGTGCTTAGAAAACAGGAGAGGAGAGGATGAGCTGCTACGAATGGGATCAGGCCGCATTCCCAGGAAGAGAGGAGGCAGGATGAAAATGTTCATGTATCCAAATTCATAAGGGCTATCAAAGGCGCCATAGTTTCTTAAAAAGTCATATTTGGCAACAATATAATTGCTCATAAAGTGAAGCAAGTATCATGTTTGGGTTTTAGTTTAGTATAATCGTAGTAGTAATTTTTCCTTCATTTTTCTCAGATGTTGATTGGCGGTACTCATACAGTCACATTCAGTACATGAGAATATTACAGAAAAGTTCATTCAATAAAAATCAGAAACATTCCAGGGACTCAGTTCACCAAGTTAAACAAATATAGATTCATTTCATAAGTCTTTATTTCTGTTTGTTAGTGATTTTTATGAATTGCAAATTAATCAGACAAATCACAATTTTATACAGAAATATGAAATGCTAAGTAAACAAATAGTGGCTTATCATTTCAGGGCATGCATGTTTGTCATATTTATTTTTTTTATGTTTTATCTTAATTACTATTGGATTTTCAGTCAAATAAAAATATAATAAAACCACATTTCTGACTTGGCGACTCTGGCTACGGTGGTAAAATGTTTGGACTGGGCTGTGTTTTATTCCCTCCTGTTAAACTGACCGTGAGAGACAGACAGCATTCTGGTGTAAAGTGTTTCCTAGACTGTCCCTGTCAAACAAACACATACTTCAGACAGCAGGTGTGTGTCCCAGGTTAATCATGACGGACTCTTGCTTTCTAAATGCTGTGTGCTGTTACACTGACTCACATTGGCTGCTGTTATATTTCCTTCCACTCTGGCAACTTCCCTCACAGACCTGTAGAGAAATAAAGAAAATACATATGAATTAACAATACATCCATTGTTTTTGGGGGGAAAAAACACAACCAGGAAATTGTTAGATTACATTAGATCATCCTTACAGAAGAAATCTGAACACAAATAATATTTAAATCAAGAAGGGCACGGTATGGATCACACTAATTCGGACATTTAGTGACTGAAGCAGGTTCAGAAAGAACTGAACTCTGAGGGAGAAACGCCAGCCTGCTTAAAATGATCAGAATGGAAAGAAGCAGAAAAATACAGTATGGCAAACAATGAAAGCAGCAGACACGCTAAAGCGTTCACGCCGCAGGACTGTCTGCAGCAGAGTGGAAACTTCATCTGAACAGTGCGGCTGCACCATAAAGAGCCGGTCTGTGCAGCAGCAGCTGCTGCTCCCCTCAGGATCACCCTTGCCTCTTTCTGGGTCCTTATTTACTCACTCCTCCGAAAATATACACAACACACCCGACGCGAGGTCTACCTGCAGGGAGACCCCTCTATGGAAATATAGGGAAAGAAAAGAATTAAAGAGTTTCTTTCTCCAAAAACTGTTGCAACTGACTGTGTTTTTCAGGGAGGTTTCTTCATTGTTCGCTCCACATCTGCAGCAGCGGTAATGAACAGAAGACAAGCTGTGTGTCTGAGTACATGCACCCAACACACTCTGCTCCATAAATGCAAAAAAAAAGAAAAAAAAAACGATAAATATTTGTTTTTGTTTTTATTTTTTTTCAATAGAATAGAATATACTCTATTGATCCCCAAGAGAAAACTTCTTCTTAGTTGACAAGCTACTGCATCTAAGGTGCTAAATGTTAGTCATAAAAATATAACCATAAGCGATAAAATGTATTGTGTGTGTGTGTGTGTGTGTGTGTGTGTGTGTGTGTGTGTGTGTGTGTGTGTGTGTGTGTGTGTGTGTGTGTGTGTTTGTGTGGGTGTGTGTTTTTGTTTTTGTGTGTGTACCTAAGAGTGATGTAAGTGATATCAAAAATGACTGAATATAAATAAATAAATAAAATAACAAGCATACACATGCAAATATGTTAATCCATAAATAATCTATAAATGAATGAAAAGAAAAATTGAATTTAACTAACTTAAGAAGTAAGCTTCCTGATGTTGGGCATAAAATTAGCTGCTCTGGTGTATTCTGACTCTAACCTCAAGTAGGACAGACTGCTGCTGTGGCCTCTGGCAACACACTTAACCCAGTTAACATTTTTTTACCCCAGATGTTCCATACATGTCCTCCTGGAGTCAAAGGCAGCATCATTTCACCTTGGTGAACTTCTCTTAGGTGGTGTTGCTCAGTCATTTTCATCTCCCAATAACACCTTTTAATGAGTCAGCTGTCATCGTTACTAAGAGGAAGTTCTAAAAGTCCAGTAGGTACATTTATATTATGTCTGATTTCAGATCAGAGAGGGAGATAACCAGCAGCCTGGAAGATGAGAACTGGGTCAAAGTACAGTTTGCGTCCCGCCAGTCCTAAAAAAAACCCAGAAACCAGTCTTAGGTTGCCCCTGACGACCTCTGCCTTTCTGCTGCACGATTTGTTTTCCTTCAAACATCCTGATAATATCTTGCGGCATCGCTACCTCTTCTCTGCTCTGTTTGCAATGAATGCAAATAAGTTGTGATTCACCTTTTAGCTTTGCCGTAAATGGCCCATATCTGAGGAGAGCGGCTGCCATGGTCACAGGCTGCAGGCTGGCAGCTCACCTAGCAGCACTTCATAGTGTTTGAACAGAACCCAGCCTGAACCCAGCAGCAGCGTCACATCAAAAAAAAACATGAAGATCTGAATAACAATGTTTGGCTTCCTAAAAAAAGCATGTGACATGGCAAAACATGGATTAACTCTCCATTTTCCACTTTTGCAGTCACAAGTTAAACCTGAAACCTAAGCCAACGATTTGTTTCGAATGTTTGTCAGTAAAATTAAGAATTTTATCACATTTTACATTTTTATCTTGTATATATCATCAGCGTGAATAATCAGTTTGGTTTATCGGTTTATTCATACAGGGCAAATGATGGCTTCAGTCCGGTCAAGTTCACAGCAAAATGAGCAGATCCAAAATAACATCAATTCAGTCCAAATTCAAAGATATATTAATGAACCAAAAGGCAGTTAAATGATGTCGTAACTCCTGTCATTCAAAGAGTCACTGTGCAAGTCGCAGGATCACTTCACACTGTAACTCCGTTCTTACAAGGCCAGGAGTTCTACTATTGGACCTTGACCAACAGCTGCATCTAGTATTTAGACCTGCTGGATGCAATAAAGAACACTGACATTTCTTTGTCCTCAATTAAAAATGTAAAAAATCAAATTCTGGCACACTGTCACAGATTCTCAGGATGGATCAAAGATCTGCTGTGCAATTCCTCATCCAGAGCAAGCATGTGGCAACCGTCAAAAGGAACAACTCAAAACAAAATCTCAAAATGAGCCAGGAGAACCAGGCTCATTATGAGCCAGACGGGGAGGCCAGAACCCAACACAAGAAAGAGTAGAATTCTACTGGGCCGATCAGCGAACAGACGGAGAAGTCGTAAACGAAGACGTCAATTTTCTGCGCTGTTTTAGAATTGTAGTCTCGCTGTAGTTTAAACAATGCCAGTGGAGGAAGTGAATGAAGTCGCCCAGTCCATGTCGGCCACACTGCCAAGTATTGATTTTACATTAACAGCCTCCTCGGCTCTTCTCTCTTCGTAGAGGAGAGTGGTTGTTTCCCGTAAGCTTCACAGCATTGATCTGGCGCATTGTGTACGTCACGAACAAATGTAAAAACAAATGGTGGGTAAAATTTAGAACATGATAACAGTTCATGCCTCCAGAAAGCAAACGTTTCTCAGTAGCCAAGAGTCCAGACCCTCTGGATGAAGCAAAGCGTAGAACAAGCAGCTGGTTCTTATCTAGGAACATATTTCCTTCCAAATTTACCTTCGAGGTGTGACGTGTTTTTCTTTCCACAACAGATAAAGAGCCTGCAAAGGTACCAGACATCATAGTACTCCACACTTAAATGTGGGGTAGACATGTATGTGTGTTTGTTGTGTGAGCTCATCATCCTTCAAAAGGTATTGAGATGATTTTAAAAAAGAAAACCCACAGACCAAGCAGAGCAGACATCCAAACATCAGGACGAATGGCAGTGAAGATAGAAAGGAACAGGAGTAAATGTTACTGAGTAAACCATGAGGAACAGAAGAAAACGGTTTTATTTCAGAACAGCATAAAATGAACAGAGGAACACGAGGAGACACAGTTCTGGTCTGGGGCTAGGTGGATGAAAGAGGCTCTTACTGCTGGAACAAAACCCTGACGTTTACGGCATGTTGCGTGATGCGAGTTGACGTGTGAGATAAAGGACCAAATATTTCCTCACTCTTTAATAACTGAATTCATTTTTACTATATTTGAAAATCTTTGAAAATCTAAGGTGTTATGACAACATTTTAAACTCACTGTACGTTCTAGAAATCAGCATCTATGTAAATCATTACATTGTAGGCAAAGTCTTAATGCTACAAAATGTGGGTTAAGTGTTTCAGGAAGTATTACTAATCCATTTTTGCGTTACATTAACAGACATACCATAAATAATTAACCTCCCATGTGTGTCATTACAGCCACTTTCCCCTAAAAGATCCATGTCAACTCCCATGTCCACTACACAGAAGAGGGACAAAACAAAGTGGCGTCGTATTTCAGCCTAACCTTCGGCACCCCGCGTAACCTCCAGGGACAGTCGGATGGAGGACATGAAGAGAAGAAGAACCAGTGGGTGCGGGGTGAATGCACGGTTGCCAGGCGATAAATGTGTGTATCTGGATGTCATGCTTGGGAAGAGCTGTAGCTCACTGTTGCAGAATGACCTAGTTTTGATCAAAAGCAAGAGCAAGTGTGAGCAGAAAATTAGGGAACATGAGGGAAACATGGAGATGCAGCTGAGAGGCGAATCGTTTCAGTCGATGTATTCTCCAGAAACAGCAAGAAAAGAGAGCAGGAAACACAAACAAACAGAAAAAAATCATCCTACAGATCATCTAAAGAACATAAAGGAACAGTTCATCTACACCCCACTTGTCAATCAACTTCAGATGATTACAGGGGCATAATTCCCCCTAAAAGTCAGTTTTTTGGGGGGAGAAGGGGAGAGTGAATATTTGTAGAAGAAATCAAAGACAGTTGACAGACGCCATGCTTCAAACTCCACTCTGATTGCACTGCATGTACCAGAGGGAAACTGATGAACTCGGCTAGACATGTAGTAACAGGGCTGGTATGAGGGAAGTTCTTTTACTGTCCTGATTTTACAGGATGGCACTTTATTAAGGAGAGAGCGTGATCAACATGAAGTAGGCTTCAGTCATCCTAGTGAAATCTCCTCAATGTCATATTGGGTAGTTAAAGAAGACCCAAGTGCAGAAAGTATGACTTCAATTTTTAAAAAAGAACAAAGGAAACTGACATTGAGAACATGGAGGTAAAACACAGGGAACAACAGAGACAAACAGATCGCAACGAAAACAGTCAGAGGAGAATGATGAAACCAAAATACTGGATATGCACTGAGGAAGGAGGAAGAGGACAGGGGACAGCCGAGGGAAATTAGGAGATGGAAAACATCTGGGCAGGGAAGCAGGCTGACGGACAGAGGAAGGGAGAAAGAAACCAAGCGGAAACACGGGGACACCATAGATAATAAGAAAAACCTGAAACTAACACAAGCAATAAACAGGAAGAAACTCTAATCTATAGAAACAAGTCCAAAACAAAAGCAATGGGAATAAGTTAACTACCAAGGAAAAATCTAAAAAGCTAAGCTAATTAACAAGAAAAATGATCAACACAGAAACATAGATGGAAGGCAAATTTCAAAGACCTTAATATTGTAACACTTTAACACACTACTGTTCTTATTTTCTGCTAAATGTCAGATTTTAAGTCATAAACTTTTGCTTTTTGGCCATCTGTGGAGAAAGGCTACATTTTTCCATTCAAATTAATATTTTAGGTTCATAAGCAACCAGATTTGAGAATCCCTTCAATAGACTGTAGCCTCTGTGATATTACCTGAGAAAGAAAAGGTGAAAATTTAAAATAAAAATAGAAAAAAAAAGAAGAGAAAAGGTAAGGCAAGACGAGACGAGACAAGATAAGATAAGATAACTCACATCAGTAGTCATGTTTCCATGAATGTTTTTTTATGTACATTTTGAAGTATCGCATTGGGAGAGGTTGATGGAAACAGCAAAATTCAAAATAACTTCCTCAATTTCACATAAACATGTTCACATTCACATGATGTGGCTTTCAGCTTCTCCAAAAGAAAAAATGAAAGCACTAAAGTCCAAACCTCCAGTTCGCAGAAGAAGGACTCTGAGATGTGTGGTCCATGCTAGTTTGCAACTTCTACTTCCTGTTTTTTACTCACATATGACATTATGCCTCATGTAGCCTGGCTGATTTGCTTTAAATCAATCAATCAAATTTCATTTGTATAGCACAATTCAGCAGCAAAGCATTTCAAAGTGCTTTACATAATTAAAAAACAAAATAAAAACCGCATGTGACATTGAATAAAAAAGAGAAAGAGGTTTTGGAAAAAAAGATAAATCAGTAAAACACCTAACTCACATTTTCTTTTAATTTTTTTCTGACATTTTGAAAGTTTTCTCTGAAGTCTCAAGACAGTTGGATGGAAACATAGCGAGTGTGTGGCCATTTCACATTCCAAGTTAAGAAAAAAACCAAAAACAAAAACACCAATTGACAGAATGAACATATTAAAAGATGCAATTGACGCAATTCAACACTATCGCTTTCATATACCTATTCGGTCTATAGTGTGCGACATACTAAACATCTATGTTTATAATTTTCCAGGATCTCCTTTGCCTTTCCTAAGCACCAACTGCTCATATGAATACTGATCTGTACACCAAACAACCTTCGCTGCAGCTTAAACCAAACATCTTAGCCTTGATCTTATAATTAATGTTTCAGTGGCCTGATTTTGCAGTGTCTGCTCCATTCTGCTGCCCTATCTCTTGACGGTGTGGGTGGGAGGCATTGACTGAGTTTGACAATTCTGTCTGCAAACAATAGAAGAAGTCTATTGCTCCTTTACAACTCAAGGTTAATAGAGTCACAGTCAATGGACGATTTATAGAGATTGTTGTTCACCTCTCAGTTTTATTATTTTTCAATAGACACTTGTGATGGAGTACTGAGGAGGAACTCCTTCAGTGTCAGTGGACATGATTTAGTTGAACAAAGCAAACAGCCCACGGTACGTTGAGGGTTCTGGGCAGGTGGGTTATGGGGGTGTAGGCGTCAGGTTGTCATGTTTTGTTGATTTACTTTTATGATCCAAATATGTGACTGACGATCAATGCAGCGGCTGGGGAAAGGAGAATTAGAGGAGAATCTAATGGTGTTTAATGGCTTCAGATGGGCAAGTAAAGAGAGGTTTATTTTTCTTACTTTGTAGCAGAGATGCAGTCAGCATGAAAGGGAGGCTGAGGATCTTGAGATGTCACAAGACACATGGAAAGACAAGTGGAACATGAGATAGAGCTGCATGACAGGAGGAAGCTTCAAACAGATGGCTGGTTAGGTTGATGGAGACATGGGTCCATTGGAAATATAGATCCACTGGAGACATAGGTCCATTGGAGACATAGGTCCATTGGAGACATAGGTCCATTGGAGACATGGGTCAGTTGGAGAGATAGGTCCATTGGAGACATAGGCTCACTGGAGATATAGGTCCATTGGAAACATAGATCCATTGGAGACATTGGTCCATTGGAGACATGGGTCAGTTGGAGACATAGGTCCATTGGAGACATTGGTCCATTGGAGACATGGGTCAGTTGGAGACATAGGTCCATTGGACAACTCTGGTGTGGATTAACTTGTATTCTGGTTGAGTGTTGAGAATGTTGTCTGACTAGGAACCGACTTGTGGGTCTGAGGAACGCTAAGGTGGGGGGTTGAGTTGGGTTCCAGGTTTTAGAATCAAAGGCACAAGAAGACAGGGTGTACTTTCCTTAGAGGATAACATTAGGTGGGAAAAACTACAGAATGTAGGAGCGTATCGGTGGTCTATTTGTTCTGTGGTATTGATGAGAGTATTGTTACGGCTTCAGTGGGTCTCTGCCCTTTTTTCCTTTTAGGGTTCTGCAGACAGGTCTCTGCAGGTGATGTGTGTTGCCCTGATTGGTGTTCTGCAGCTTTAAAACTGCCAGGCATGCAGCAGTCAGGAGGCTTTTCCCTCCTCTCTCCTCAGATCCCTATTTGGTTTGGTTTGTATCTTTTGGTTGAGATTTGTTAGGTTTGTTTAAGCATTTGTTTATTTCTGGTCACTTATAGGTTCTGCTTTAATCTATTTTGGTTTCTCATTTCAGGTATTCTTTTTTCAGGGTTATTTCTTTAATATAATTTAATAAATTCTACTTTCACTAAGTTACTAAATCCTTGTGTGGTCTCCTTTTAATGTTACCCCATCAAACGAGCCTGGTGGACGTAACAGTATGAACTGGAGGCCAGCAAAAGGTTGGAAATAGAGATAAAAATAGACACACGTTAACCACACGATTACCTCATCTAAAGCATCCTTAAAGACACGGGACAGAATGAGATTCCCATTCTAGGCCAGCTCATAAAAAAAAAGCTACAACCTGTTGTTTGCTGACTGGTCTTTGTTTATTCTCTGGTAGACTTATTTCACTGCTCCATCTTTTATGCAATTCATTTTATCCTTTTTGGTCCCGGCTTCCTTAACCTTGTTTTCTCTGCCACTCATTTTTTTCTCCTCTCACCCATCCACCCTGTAGGCCTTCATCATCCACTGTTGACAATGAAAGTGTACCACGAGCCCTGATAGCACATCTGGGTTTCACTTTGTGTTTCTCTTCCTACCATTCATCCTTATCACAGCCCCCCACCCCCTGTACCTTCATCCCTCTTCTTTTTGCAGCTGTCTTTTTTCACCTCTCCCTCTTGCCCAGACAACCCTGTGGTTGCCAGGGCTCCTTAGCAACAGCCCCACGAGGCAAAGGATGGATGAAGAAGGTAGGCGAGGGAACAAAGGCGTCGAAGGGAGGGGTAGGAAGGGGTGAAGATGAGGATGAGGAGAAGGTGGTAAGGGGGAGACTAAGCATAGCAGCAGAATGAGGCTAGAGATATGGATTAGCGATACAAAATTCATGGCATGTGAGATGTGATGTGTCTCACTCTTCAGTCAGGTCAAGAACTGCATAAAGTGTTTTTGATCATGCATGTGCTTGCATTATGTACGGGATTTAGGAATTAATTCTATGGCGGACAACCTCCTCTTGTTTATATGAAACCCATGCTTCTATTTCGCATTCAAACTCGAGATTAAAAAAACGCCTGATTGTAAAGTCAAACACAGGGTATGAAATTCAATCAGAATGCCATGTAAGCTCCCAAGTGACTTATTTTAAAGGGTGAATGAATAAACATGAACCTTGCATCCAAAAGAGACCTGGCATAAAAATGGCCCTTTTGTGCTGAAACACCAGGAAAAAAAAAACATATTTTCAAGCAGTGAAAACGACACTTGGTAAGAGAAGTACAGACAAGGAAGTGAGGTCTATGAAAGAAAATAAACCAGTGGTAACCAGCTCCTGTACTTAAATTTGAGAAATCTCTTGCAAAAGGTCAGTTCAAGCAGATTTCATCATGTGATCCCTAGTGCCAATATCACACAATTAAAACACTGACAAAAGGCTTTTAAGATATTTTAAGACCACATTTTATGAAATTTAAGACGTGTTTCATGACAGGGATGTACAAAAAAAAATCCAATTTTATGTATACATTTGTAAGCATGGAAAATTATTGAGGAAGAAATGCCATTACTTGTGAGATTCTTATTTACTTAGCTATTTATTTAATTTCCTTTTGCCAAAAACTCACTGAGATCCAGATCTCATTTCTGTGTGGGCAAAAAAATCTGCAACACTCAAGATTAATTACATCTTATCACATTCTTTCTTTTGTATTAGATATTAGTCATAATTCTTTTCATTCCATGTTCTACTCCTTTCCCTCTCTTCCTCCTTCTTAGATGCATTTCCCTTTGTAGTAACAACTTTGTTGAAATAAAATTCATCAAAAAGTCAGACTGGTGCTTGACCACTATGTTTAGTATCCACTAAGCCTCCGCCGGTCAGAGTTTGAGTCTCACCAAATGCTGCTCCTAGGTCAGTGATAGAAGACCTAGGAGCTAAAGCTAAAGCTGGGGAGCGTTAGCCACACCAACAGATTAAAGCTGTGACATTTCCGTGGCTATTGACAGCAGCTTTGGGCTGCATTTGTCTCTCTACAGCCTTAACCCCTACAATGGCAAGCTTCTTATAACCGAATGAATGTAGAATCTCATGGAATGGCAAGAGAAGTGAGCCAGTGGTTGAAGACGAGCACTGTCCAGCCAACCGGCAATAAATTTGCACTTAAACTAGTTAGCTGGCTAGCTAGCAAGCCGCTGGTTAGTGGTAGCCTTAACAAATCGTAGAACACAACGAAGATATCCGCGCGTGATTCAAATTTTTGCTTGACAGCAATGTCTCACAAGAAAAAAACTAAACAAAAACAAAACTACATCAAATATAAGAGATTAAACCTTTAGGGTCAGGTTGTAATGACTCGATCAAAGTGTCTCACAAAAGCATAAGTTTGTGGAAGCACCCAAGTTACCTTAGCTTTTCATTCCCAGGGCTTTAAATCCTGCTGTTGTGACTCGGAGGTGGAAACTCTTCACAACTGTATCTTGAGCATTTGGAGAAGCTCTCTGCTATTTATGTTGTTGCTTCTTGCACCTTGGTGGCATCTCACTGCAGAAAATATCCAACACAAATACACAAAAATGGGGTTATGAAATATACTGTTGTAATGTAATATGAAAACTCTTAGGCCTGATTATGTTCAGGCATATATGAAAGCAAATGTATTTCTGTGGAGATAGAAAACTTTAAAAAGGAAATGCACTGGAATGAAGTAATTGTAAACATTCACTGTTTTTCATATTCAAGGAAATTCCAATCTCAGTCATCATAGTAAAATCAAAAGGAAAAGTTTTTATAGGATGTAAATAAACATTAACATACAATATGTTTGTTGCTGAACTCCATAATCCAACAGCTTAAACAGTAAAATTATTAGGTGTGTCAGAAAATCACCTAATGATTAGTCAAATACATGCCTGGGAAACAGAAGTAGCCATAAATTAGCTTAAAGCTGCCTGCAGGGGGCAGCATAACAGGAGAAACAGCTCAACTGCATCTAAAGAGCTACACAGAAATCTATTGCCGGGGTACCCCAGATAGATTGGGGGCAAGTACGATGTTTTTAATACGTTTTAATATGTTTGGAAATATATCAGCAGGTTATGTTTCCATAACATAACTTGCTATGGAAACAGGTGTGTGTGCGTGTGCCGCATGAAGATTAAGCTGACAGAGCAGCTGAATAGGCGGCTATCCACTGGCCCAGATTGGTATCTTCTTATTTGTTGTCATTCTGAATATTAATTTGGCTGATGAGATAAATTTTCAGCAGAAAAACTTGTGTTCTGTAAATCTTTCTGTTTGCACACTTTATTATTACATCAACATTTTTGTAACCAATACATGCTATCAAAACCAACATGTTTGTGTTCCCCAGAGCGGAGGCAGTGTTTACCGCATGCTTCTGAACTCTGTCCTTTATGACGACAAATCTGACAGGAATGAGCTAGAAGAGATCATTATCCTTGGTCGTTTATTACATAGTGGCTATTATAATAAGACTGAATGAAGTAACTGTAAACCGATTTGCAGGATAGCAGCAACTAATGAGCCACTTTGCTCAACGTGGATTTATAGCACAAAACTGAAACCAGTTTCAACATAGAAAACAAACGGTCATGTTTCAGCATGCCGAGGTGTGACAGATATTGAACGGTGTATTCACACTGTTCTCTTGTGCTCACGTGAAATTTGGCAGCACGATTTTTGAAGAATTTTCAGCAAAACAAAACATGCGAGCAAGCTGAAAAACATTTTTGTTTATGGTTAGTAATAAGAAAATTCACAATCTTTGTATTTGTATTCTTTTTTTGGGCAAAAAATAGCTGGGACAAGACCTGTCAGGGTAGAGGTAGAGTTTAACTCAGAGCTGTGATATTTGTGATATATTTATCAAAAGTAACTTTAAAAGAAAAGGGAAGAGCTTAAAGCCACTGAGAAAAAAAAAAAAAAACTTTGACTTTAATCTCAGAATTCAGATTTATTTTTTTTTTTTTTTGAATTTTTTTAAGTGGCCCTAATCCTCTTCTTTAAAAGGGGGGCCCTATTTGCAAATGAGAGCAATATTACAGAAATGTCTTGTTTTAGCTTCTTCCCTTTGTGTACTTGTGTGCGGATCTAAAACCACGTCAACTGGGCCTCAGTTGGCAGCTCTGGATCGTCTCCCTGGAGGCTAAAACAATAAAAGCCATTCTGTGATTTCCTGGGCTGTCCTAAAGAGACACACACACACACACACACACACACACACACACACACACACACACACACACACACACACACACACACACACACACACACACACACAAATGCTTGTCATTCCCAATTTGTCTGCCATAATTACACCATTACCAAATTTCATTTTCTACCTTCTTCTCTCAAAATAACATTATGTGCATTAACACGTCTGCTCACCAATAAGGACACAGTTAATGGAAAACGTGCTCTCTGTTCATTCATTATGTAGAACGATACGACACATCTCTTATCCCATCTTCCCTTTATGTTCAAAATCTCAGACGGCCTCGGATCAATGTCAAATATTTAGTTTTTCATTCCCTCAACAAGCAAGTTACATTTGAGGAAGACGGTGAACCTTTAAAAAGTTGCATTGCTCACTATTTTTACCAGATGAATTTAGCTGTGGGTAGAAACCATGGCTCGGTGGGTAGAGAAGTTGTCTTGGAATCTGACAGTTATGAGTTTGATCACAGATTTCTCTGTTGTCACATGATGATATCTGGCTGGGAAAGGCGTTGTGTGCATTTGTACCAGTAAATAACTGGATTTAAACTTTCTTTAGAAAGGGACAATGTACAGCTCAAATACCAATGTCACCATTCAATGCGCTGCACCAGATTATCTGCAGCACCTTGACAGGTTACAAAAATTGATATAGAATATTTAATAAAATAAAATAGGATATATAAAGCTGCATGTTGCTTTGTAATCACATTGCACAGACGAGCACACTCCTACAGGTGCTGAAATTAATTAAATTAGTGGAACAATGACTGACAATAACAGGAAGATTTGGCTGGCAATCAAATTAATTAATAATAAATATGGATGTGATCATATTTTAAAGTTTAAAATTTAGATGCTGATTCCTAAATCTATTAAAAACACGTAGAATGAGTCAGATAGATATAAAAACAATTCCTTTGAAAGAATGACATATTTTGGGTAAATTATTAATAAATAATTTAACTTGGTTATTAATTTATTGGTCACTTTACATGTAAACAAGCAGAGACCCAGCAGTCAGCGGCGTGAGGCCGGGCTAGTCAGTAGTTTAAGGAAACTCTTTACGAGTGAGTGACATAACAGCCAATGGCAAGATGAGCCTGGAGCCGAAACAATCAGGACAGTCACTCAGTGGAAGAAACCGCTGGAGCAAGTAAGTGCTTAAATAGCTCATTTAGACTGGGGTCAGGAGGAAATTATGACACATACTGAGAAGAGCCACAAGCATGTGCTGCTAGAGCTGGTCTTTATCAGGTATAGTAGGATCTCAGCCCTTTTGTTAGGATCTTTGGTTGTTTGATGGTTTGATTTGATTCTAATTTCATTATTAGTTTGTGTTAGTTTCTTATTTTGGTTAGATCAGGCTTGTTCCTGTTTTTCTTTAGTTCAGTTCTTTCTTAGTGATTCTAGTTTATGATGTTTACCTCTTGTGCCTATTTTTACCTACTTTCTCTGTCTTTCCTTCCCTCCCTGTCTCACTCTCTCTTTCTCTCTCTATTCAGTCTGCCTTTTGCCCTCACACCTGCAACACATTAGCTAATCAACCCAGGTCCATTGTTTCAGCATTCAACTTCCCAGTACTTAAGCACTTCTTTCTCGGTCACTCCTCGCTGGTTCCTTCTGTTACTTCCCCATTTTACCCTATGTACCCCTGTGTTTCCTTGTTGGCTTTTTTCGTTGTGGTTTACTTTTTGTTTTGTCCCTGTGGTTTTTGAAAGTGAACATTTGTATTTTCATCATTTTCATTAAATCTTCAAAGTTCATTTGAAGCCTATGGATCCACTATAACTGCCACACATCGTGACACTTACATCTGCACAACAAACTCCACATATCACAATGTTAAATTGTACAACTTAATTTATCTTCACTTCTTGCAGAAAAATCTATATTATGACACAGCAAACATGCTTTGTTTTATTTTAAAAGAAAATGTTAAAAAAAATATGAATGAAAAGTGTTTGATGCTTAAAATATTCACACCTCTGGCAGATTTAGTGTCTTTTCATTTGACCAAAATGTTTCTTCTACCTGAAGGTAACACAAATGTTCTGGAGCAGTTCAACCCTCTCTTGAATTGACTGTGAGAGCAAATCTGTGGGTGTAGCTAATGATCATAGAGTGATAAAGACTTTGTAAAAACATTTTCTTATTTCTTAAGTGAAAACTAACAGTTTTGTTTTAAAAGTCCCTGTGGCTACGCAAACATCTGTTATTCGGGCATTCTTTAATTTAAATGTTGACATAAATTTATTGATTTTTATTTATTTATTTATTTGTATTTTTTATTTTATTATTATTGTTTTTTTTTTTTTTTTTTTCAAAACCAATGCA